TATCGTGTTTTTTGCGGAAAACAGTTATAAAGATATAATTAACATCCTGCTGTTTATAAAAGTTATGACACCTCTATATATTGATGAGTTATTTATCAGTAAGGAAGAAGTAAATTATGACTGATGTTAAGGCACGGACATCAAAAAGATCTTTGGCTTATGGTATGCATATATTATATATTTTTTAATATTCAGTTACTAAGTGAGATGAGCTGTATCTACATAAACAAAAAATATGTTCCAAAAACGGACTGACCGCATTTTCCTCAAAAACTATATCGAACATTAATTTATCTTCAAATTGTAATTTTCATACAATTTGATAACTGAATATGATACTTAAATTTAAATGTGTTATAATATAGTTAAATTATAAGTTAAACAGTGAAATATATATTACGTAATAGTAACAGTACCGTACTAGTTTAATTTAAAAAGATACTCAACGGATATATATGTAAATATGAGTATAAATTACATATGTTCCAGTTTATGTTGTATAAGATACGTTTTTCAATATTAAAAAGTGACAGCAATCAACTAGTCAAACGCACTACGCTGTGCGTAGGCGCATCACTCATAAATCTACTCAGGGTACTATAGAATTCTTGTATAATATTCGTAGGGTCGGCACAAGGTAGATTACTTAAGTTTATGAAGGGATGAAGTCTATTAATGAAGGACATAAAAACGTTTATCTTCTACTGTGATAGTCTTTATGATTTCGGATGTGGTAAAATGTAATACTTATTTTTAACTTTCATTCCATTCAGAGTAGTAAAATGTTATAAATTTCGGCAAAAGAATTATTTTTTTTCCACAATAAGAACGATTATGACAATACCTAAAATAGGAGTAAACTACACTAAACATTAAAATTGGTGGCCAATAAAGTCTAACGTAAAATATGTAATAAAATAATAATAATAACCACATTTTCAGAATTACGTATTTAGTGAATATCTTTAAATGTACCATAAATAGATGCCAATGTGAATGTTGTAATATTTAATTTTGACATCCCTAAAAGTGCGTTAATTTGACGTTTCAACAACGTTCCCAATTGGTGCCCACGCAGCCCGTCGCCTGACCCTCCAACTGGCTATTCATAAAATTACTATTGAGACATCATCCGCAATAATTATGCCCTATGAGTCCATTGACTATAACCAATGCATGCTATAAACTCTCTAACAATAGCTGGAACTTCGCTTTATGACGCTAAAAGTACTAGGTATTGTTTTTACAACACCGGAGTTGTCATTGACGTACTCAATGCGTTGGGCCTTATAGCATACGTAATTACATACTAATTGTAAGATAATGTTCAATGGACTATATAGAAACGGATTTTGTGTCGTTTAAAGCCAATAACTGGTTGATGATTGTAGTTTTTGTATTAAGATTTAGTAACCGTTATAAATCTAATTAATTTAATGCGGCGGCGGATGACTTATTAATCATAAGTACTCACTCGTTTAACGAGCGTTACTCGTAAAGACTGCCGTAACCTACTAAACTACGTCATCCTATTATCTGCACTAACATTATAAATGTCCTGTCTGTTTGTTTACTATACTGTATTTAATAAATTTTGAAATATGTACTGATAGGTAACATTTTGAAAAATCTGCAATATCTCTCGAAGCTATTTTCTGAATAGTGTATATATAAAAACACTAATTTATAAGTTTCAGTATATTTTGGTATAGAATATATAATATAGCTGTTCTATACTAATGAGTTTTTTTTTATTTCTAGCGTCCATTGACTATTAATTATCTCATTTATACACTTTAATACCCAAATTTTTAACTTTTGACAATTTATTATGTATTAGAGCGGATTGTTTGCTTTTATTAATTTTTAAATGTTTTCATATGCAACGGAAATTGGTGATTGTGAAGGATTTAATGGCGCGTGAACACTAACGGATATTAGCAATGTGTGCGTGGGAAAAACTATTTAGTAAATATTTCCAATTGGAATAGCAAAAGCATTCATTCGGAAAATTTTATTTATTTGGACCTTACAATTGAATGACGAAAATAAAGGCTATTTTTTTATTTCTAATTACAGAAAGTCTTTAATGTAGAATTAATTTCCTGAATAGCTTTGACCGAGAATTCATCCTGGAAAATGAACAAAGCAACTATTATTCTAATTTAACGGTTTTAGAAAAACCATATTTGATAGATATATAGATATCCTGAGGTCGATTTTGTAGTGAATATTAAGTTTCGACATCTTAGATACTATTATTACTCAGAATTACGGTATTTAGATCTTATTAGGCTTGGAGAAATGATCCAGATATTAATTAATTTATAAATATTGTATTGATAGGTACATCTTTACACATTTTTTAAATGTCACTTTGTACTTGTTTGTGAACCCTCTTGGGAATTATACACACCTTTACAATTATTCAGTTTTTTAATAAATAGTTGTTGTGTTCTCACTCCAGTCACAACGTCGTTTATAAAATTTGTACTCTGTTTCACAATATTTCTGTATTTTTATACTACTTTAATTTTTCTAATTATTTAACTAGTAAGTATGAAGTTATTTACTTTTTAACGTCACGTACATTTTTTAGAAAGTTCTGTCCATTCTACGGATTAAAAAAATGGTACTTTATTTACTGTGTTTTAAAGTCGTTACTAGCTAACTTTAATTGTATATTCTTTTGTCGTACAGTTTAACATTATTATTTTGACATGTGCCCTACAGGACGTGATAAAAATGTTAAGATGTATTCAATATATAAAATATATAATTAATTATGTAACTCGTGAGAGGAATTATATTATCTGCCTTTATCGTTTTCACTTCATGGTAGCGGTTTTCACTGAACCTCAGTGAGCCAGTCGACAAAATACGAAAGTTTTACATAATATCACTTGTGTATAAATTGGTACTTACTGCATACTTCGTCAAATAATTTGTATAATAGTACAGTGAAAAATAAATACTATACCTAGTAATACTAACGAAATATACAGCAAGTCATTTGTGAATGTGTGACAATACTGAATTTAATGATAACTATTGTTGGCTAGAAGGTGAATATGATTATATAATAGCCATAGGAAAGCAATTCAATATTCGAATCAAATAGCAAGAGAAAATTTAGAATAGATATGTCTTAATTAAACAAATTTTACAATAGGTTCGTTTAAAGTTTCATACTTAACTCTGGGATGATCGTGTACTTTTCCCCTTATATATGTATGTTGTACCATCATTATTTAATATTTTTGTGAAAAAAAAGTAACTTTCTCAACCGGATGTCATCTTCATTTGCTTCTTTACTAACGACACGATTCGTTCAGCGGTTATTGCGGACACAAATCAAACCCGTAGATATAATCCCTACTTCAATGAACAGATGATTAACAATAAATTGATTCGTCGCAGCTCTGACATAATGTTAACATAATGCCATTTTTTTAATTTTAGCATTATAAAGACAGGTATATGATTTATGTTCAAGTGTTTGTAACATGCAGATATATAAATAATTTAGGTATATCAACTGCGACATATATTTCGGAGTATAATAGTGTAATAGCGAGTAAAATTATGAAATAAAAAAATGTTAGATACAGAGAATATAGAGAGATTAGTTAATTCAATGTTTGCTTTAAATATCAGAATTAATTATTAAATTTCAGTCATTCACAACATAATCATTATTATATGAACTAGTGCCTTCCTTCGCATGGCTATTCCAATAAATTTTCATAAAACTGTAATAAAATATACAATTATAATAAAGTCTCAGTAATCTCTCTGTTTATGAAAACGGTATAAAATATGTTCAGTACTTTTTTAACAATTGTGAACAGTTAACATATCATCACAACGTAGATAGTAGACTTTGCCATACGACTATCCCGAATGGGATTACATTCGTGTAGACGTATAAGTGTGTAAAATTAAATTTAAAATTACCATACCATACGTATGACAAACTTGATAGGTCTTACATCTACTGTTACATTTGAAATACTAATAAACCCAATATGTAATTGACATGTCCTAGTTTTTCCTAGCAATTGTATTTATTAGATTCGCTACTATGATAATATGGTTTTCTTATGTTAATCATTAATAATAATTATTTAAAGAATGGTCATTATTATTGAACGTTTTGTGTACTATGTACAATTACTTATGTATGCTTAGAAAGAGAACATTTATAATTGACATATAGATTGCGTTTTACGTAACCATTTACCGATAGGTAAATTCATTAATTTATATTTTATTTATTTATATTGTTTGAAATACTACTTTTTTTTATTAAATATCAACACCAATATTTTACTTCTATTGAGAATAGTTCATATATATTTTCCACGCAATGAAAACTTAGCTTCTGTAAGAATAACTAATTAGAAGTTAATAACATATTATTTTATCTAAAATAACAGTATTGAGTATCACATAATTACTATATGTGGACAGTATCGCCGAATACATAGTCCTACTACCATCTGACTTCAGATTAGATTCCATGAACTGATAGCAGAAACAATGGAATACTATTTTGACTTCTGTATTGTTTCCTGTAGTAAACACTTATTGTCTCTTACATGTTGTGGGAAATGTTACGTTGTGTAATTTTTGAACAAACAGAGGAAGCAGGCTAGTTTCTATTAGCATATATTTCTCAACGTATACTGTCAACCAGTGATTAATTTATAATGTACTAGCTTTAGCTCGCGGCGTTGCCCGCGAATTTCTGTAATAAAGTATCCTACACAATGGATAAAGCATGTGAAAGAATATGTGTACCAAATTTCATTCAGTAATTTTTGTATGTAAGAGCATTCTAATTCATCCGCACAAGCTATCGTGGTTATAATACTAGTGAGATTTTGGAAAAATATTTTTTTAGTGGAATTTTATCTTTCAGAACTTGCAGATAGTGTATATTCTAAATTATGTTTCTTTTAAATAATGTATTTTAAAATTTGTTTATTAATTTACAGAGCCGCCACGAGTGGCAGCGGCAGTCGGGCCACGCGGCAAGCGGGTACAGACGCCACAAGCAGTGCGGACGCCCCCAGTTGCACTCGCCGCACCACTGCCCGCTCAGCTGCCCGCACGCGTGGAGCAGGTCGCCGCTCTTGCACACGCTGCCAAAGGTGTCGAAGCCTTGGGAGTGTTAGTCCAGTATTTAGTATTCCGTGTAAGTACCTATTTTGTTAAGTTTAGTAATTTGCTGTTTAGTGCGAAGATTTTACAGAGGTACACATTGGTTTGATATATCACTCATCTGCCTTGCTATGAACCCATTTTTAAAAAGCAGCTTATTGTAACTGAATCAAGAATGTTTAGCAGGTGTACATTGTACAAAATCGTTTACGTGGGTACTTCCGTCTTACTTATTTCAGCCACCAAAAACCTTGTTATGTAAAAGTTGTATTTCGGTTTATAAGGTAGCGATCAGGCAGTGAAATTACAGGGTACGGAGACATGATTTCTTAGTCCTAAAGAATGCTAACGCACGAATATACTGGAGAGATCTTAAAAAAAAGATGGTAACTATTCCGTTTATATAACGAGTACTATATGCTTCATATAAGGTGTGTTTTATTTTCAGTTGGATGCATTAAATGGTGGGTCATGGCGATTAGAAGCAGAAAAATGGCGAGGAGTGGCAGCAGCGGAACGCAGCAGTGCCGCTCGAGCCGACAGAGATCGTCAGCAACGCGCTCAGAAAGATCTCGATACAAGTAAGCTGAGTAAAAAAGAAATCATAAATTAGTCATTGTAATTTTGTTTCGATAAATTTCTCCCATTTTTGTTAATGTTGTAGTTGCAGAATGCCTGAGCAAGATATCAGAGCTGGAGATAGAAGTGTCGTCAAAAGAAGAAGCTAATGCTCGTCTCCAGGCCACACATATTGAAGAAGTTGCTGGTCTTGCAAATGATATTAAAGGACTTAAGGTACAGAAAAATTGCAGAAATTTACTTATTGTAAATATAAAAATTATATTACATAAATATTAAAAGTAATTAACATATTGTTTTCAGGATAATATAGAGTCTTTAAAACATGAAGTTGCCGAGAGTAGGGCGCGATTACATGCGCACAGCGAAATCGAGCGAACTTTGCGCGCGCAGCTTGAAGCAGCGCGGGCGGAGGTAGAATGCAGCAAGCAACAAGCGCGTGCAACGGCCGACGCAGCGTGTGATAAATCTTGTACTATGTGTGACGCCGCTTGCGATCCGGTCCGGTGCGAAGCGGAAGATTGTGAGCTGCGATTATCTGCGAATGAGGAACTGAGCACAGATGCCAACGAATTGGCTGCTGAGGTGAATATCTATTTGTGTAGAACTTAACAAATATTGGCATGCTAAAGTCTGATATATCTTCTTGTACTGATGCAGCAGCTGTAATTTTGGCTTGATATTACGATGTTAAAATTACTTTAGACAATATTATGTCGTTTAAATATAATTTAACCAATTTATAAGTCGGTCTAGTATACTGCTTCATACACAAAGGAACCGTAAAGTACAAGTCTATGTTAAATTTCGTATCTATAATATATAATAGATTATACCTTACGAAAGAGTAGTACATCTAATCTAGCGAATAAACTTTGTCGATCTGGCGACCTTCCAAACGAAACATAAGTCAAAATTTGACCGTTTCTTAGTTACTTAGTCGATTCAATATAAAATATAATTTACTGGTTCATTTTTGTAAATAGGTACGATCTCTGAGGGCGGTAATAGAATTAAAGCAAGCGGAGATGGCGTCACTTCGCGATGCTCGTTCAGAATTGTCTGCTGAGCGAGAACGACGTGTAGCGGCAGAGCGCGATGCTCGTGCCGCACGACACGCCGCTGAAGAGTTAAGGGAGCGGGCCGCCGCACGACAACGCGACGCCGACAGGTTGCGCGACGAGAACAGAAGGCTGCGCGACGCGGCCGCCCGCGACAGAGACCACGCCACGAGATTGGCTGCTTTGAACGAGGAGCTCAGATACAAGCTTAGGCAGAAATCTCAGGTAAATTTAGATTTTAGTTAAAAATAACTTACTATAAATCCGCAAGTACTGTTCTTTTATATTATTTCTAATAATGTTCAACTATTTTGATCAATGATTATATATTTATATTCTGATCGTATATTTCAATGTTGCATATAATAACAATAACTGCCGTCATTCATCCATAAGGGCCTACTAGGGGAACCAAACAGGTTTTAGTGTACAAGCTGTGGGGTTAGCATGACAACTTACATAATACTATTCTTTTCTTATAGGTGATGATATCAGATCACAGACAGTGAGATCATAATTTTATGACATTGATAAAACTGGTTATTTTTAAACTTTCGTGTTTATTGCACTACCGTATTGCAATTGATAAACTATTCTTGTTAAAACCTGGTTTACAATATAAACAATGTTATAACACTGTTCTACAATTATTATGGATGACTGTTCTATTCGCTAAAAGTATACGTTAATTAGTGTATTTGTTATTATTATAGGTGGTATCCCTATTGGCTGGCGGAGGTTACATAGAGCGCACGCCAATGCGTACACGAACATCGTCTGGCGACTCAGTGCGGTCAACGTCCCCGCCGCCCGACTCTCCGCCGTCACCAGCGGCATCCCCCGCACCGGATACGCCCCCATTACCTGCTGTCAAAGGAGTCGTTGAGAAGCACGATTCGGTCAGTTGGGTGCTTGAAATAGAAGAAACTCCCGAGGAAGTGGCCTCGAGGTAAATAATGACTATTGCCTTAACAAATATTAATGAAATTAAAATTTGCATAATATTTTTGGAATAGAATATCAGAGTAGTCTAATGTGTAGCAATAAGTATAATCTACACAATTAATATTTATTTTTTTTACTATGCGACGACCAAACCTACAAACATCGGAAGGTGAGATAGTGAGTAAAACCGCTACACCACTGATCGTCTCCCTGCTTTATATATTTACGTATATGTGTAGTTTTATATATTACGACGTAACTAGATATATATAAATTTTGATGGATTCAGGTTAGCGAGAAGATCATCGTTCCGCACTGCTGCCTCCCCAAGCGGGGTAAAACGCCGCGGAGGTGGCTCACCGGGCAGTGGTTCGCCGGCACCAGCATCTCCCGCACCTAATGCCTCCAAACTATTCAGGCCAGGAGACCTCGATTTCCCACCGCCGCCTCCCCCACTGAAGGAATCAGCTGGGGAAGCGATTTACATTTATGATGACCGTCAGTATTGATACAGATGAAGTATGAAATGGAGAAGTATGAAGGAATTATGGTTCGTGAAATACTAGTCTCGCGCTCGTGGAGTCGGTTGATAGTAGGCCGTGAGTAGGCGCATGGAATATCAAAACGTGAGAAGCCGTGACAAGACTTAATTTGATATTCTTGCCGAATTTCTAGTACTGCACGTTACACAGTCATAGATTAAAAAATGTGGGACCCAACAGGTATGTTCGCAATTTAGTATTAAATGTAACATTATGAAATAATGATGCGTCATATTAAGGATTTGATTGCTAATGGTTTTGCAAAGTTCGTTGTAGAGTAAAACTGAATTGTGCATAGGATTTGGGTTCGACTGCGCGAAGTATCGTAACGTACCTATTAATTTAATGGACTACGACTTATTTATGTAATGTGCTTGGATATATTTCATGTAATTTAAAATGCAAGTTTGCTCTTCTGAAAGTTTAGCTTGGAGTTATGATGCATTATTCTCGTAAATGATATTACAAACAATACCTTAGATACTTTGTAGATATTATGTAGATAAAATGGAGTTACATACATAATTTGTTTCGATTTATCTCTGCTTACATTTCTGGTTTTTGTGAGTGGAATAATAAATGAAATGAGTTATGTCTGTAGCATACACCCACGTTAATGATAAGTATCTGCTTTTCCCCAAATTATGGCCTTGAACGTTTGTAATATGTATCTATATGAATTTGGCTACATTTTGAAGAAAAGTGTTTATGTACCTGTAAATTGCTCCAATGAATAAACGTATTGCATTTGGTAATGGAAATGATGTCAATGTTTATCATATCAGTAAACCGCATTTCTAGTATACCAGCAAACGACATGTCTACATATTATCACTTCTAAAGATGTATCCCTATAGCTTAGATATAAAATTATTCTACTCTTCCTTCTAATACTTTCTTCTATATTTCTTTATTTCCCTTTGCCGTCTTATTCTTTATTCATTGGTGCAATTATTCTTGATTCTGATATTATCTGTTTATTAACTGTTAATTATAAGAAAATTAAATAAAAAATGTTGTGCCCTGTCTACGGCGTGTCAGCTAGCAGGTTGTTGTCTGCATTAATTAGCAATAGAGTGATCTTAAATGTTTATATTGTTTTGTATCCATTGTATTTACAACTTAATTGTTATAGTTTATCGTGGTTGTTGGCACTGTATTATTTTTATGTACAAATAACAATTTTAATGATGAAAAAAATTAACTTAGCTCTAAGTAAAACATAGTCTGCTAATTGTCCCTGCAAGATATATTGATGCTGATTGTTTTAAGATTGGTAAATGCTTTTGCAGTGATGTGTTTTAAATTAACATTTTAGGTGTTTTAATTTGTATTCATAAAAATAAAGATTTCTCCTGGAAATCGTTTTAACATCCATATTTAAACCAAAGAGTGATTGTGTCAACTCTTTGTCATGTTCCTTATTTGTTGCTGAGCATGCATGCTGGGCAAACGATTTGCATGCGTTGGTTAAAGTTGTAAATTCAAGTAACTTTTTATTTATTTTTTAAGCTAAACAATATAAATAATACCATTCCAAATTAAGAATTGTAAGCGAAAATAATTATTACTTGATTACGGAGGATATTAATATAAAAATAAAAATCGTACGTTAAAGAATTGAGTGGTTTTATTCAAAGTAGTATTTCTATTATACATTATCCTTGTCGATCCATTTTGAGAGAGAAATAAATATGCCTGGTCTTTCTCGCACATGCGCAAACCTAGATATCGTTTTTAAATAGAGCTGTAGCCACACACTGACCCAATTAGGTTTAAGTGGCACATTGAATGAAAACTATATTACAATTTTAATGTAAAATATATGTAATTTCATAAATAAATAAATAAATAAAACATTATATTTAAAATATAGGAGAAAAAAATACCTACTTTTTCTGGTTCGGTTTAATAGAAACCATCACACATATCTCTAATTCCTTTTGTCCCTTCTTAGTGCCAGTAGTGATGAGTGCCAGTAGTATGTGAATAATTATTTATATACATACATGCTTCTGTATTGGAGTCGTGATTCAGTCAGATCATTCTGCTTGAAAGTCGTACAGATATAGTAATCTGCACGACTTTCAAGTTTTACTTCTTATGTAGTAATAAGTAGTAAGTTAGTTTTCTTTGGTATAAATCTGTGATTCAATTCGTATATGTAGTTATTTCATATATGATTTGTTTAAAAAATACTTTAAAATCATATAAAATAACTTTGAAGTTTTTACACCTGATGAAAATAACTTCAGTTTCTTAATCTGGCACTAAATCGACACTAATCATCGTAATACAATTATCTTCGGAACGTTGCCTAAAGGGACCCCTTTTAATAATATATTTTAGTCATCATATTATTTTTTTTTTTAAGCTTTTTATTTTAGGTTCTTAGTTGTACAATTAGGTTATGTAAATACTAGTTATATAATAATATGTATATAAATATTAATGAAATTAATAAATATTATTAAATGTATATTATGATTGTCAAATGGAACATTAGGTACTGACCGAAATCAAAGAAAAGTTGTTAATATCATTATCAATATATATTAATATAATAATCATTGTTATTTTAATACTCATACCGATCTCGTACCTTTTAAATAGGTTTAGGCGTTCTCCATGTCATACTTGATTACTTAATGCCATTCTTTCCTTTTTTTTTCCTATTTGATTAGATAATACTTCTACGTACTTTATTATAATGTTTGTGTTTTTTTTTATTCAAATAGTCACCGGTGAAATAAATACATACATTGTAATCCAAATTAATTTATAGCGTAGGTAGGGGTATTCTTATCATTAAATGATGTACCGCGTACAGGCATCTCGGCAAAAAGTACTGGTTAATATGTTTATTTTCTGATAATTTATAGCTTTATTTTAATAATGCGTGTAATCAGTGATATGTGCCAAGGCGAGTATGAAATATTGTAAGTGGCGAGGACATGCTGATATCAACCTTTATATAACCATTCCATATGCTACCGAGGGACAATTCGTGGTAGTTTCAAAATGAACAGTAGTTTGTACGTATATTATTTATTGCTGGGTGTAGGTAAGTTTATTCATATTCATAATAATAATAATATATAAATTGAAATCATAAACGGCGTATACTTAACATTAAAATCAGGGGTAATATTGGAGCAGTAGTGACAAGCGGCCTAGATCGCCTAGTGTGTAGCAAAAATGAGGCCGATATTTCTCCTACATATATTGTTATCATATAATGTTTTTCTTAAACATGTGTCTACAGGGAACAAGAGTGTTATGTCTATAGAAGAAAGAAACAAAACTTTACACCATCAGAAGGTTGAATATATTGCTGTGGTATTTAGGTGTATTGGTTGTGCGTACGTGTGCTGATGAAATAAAACATGTGTCATCACTATTTTTTGTCCACCCTGTAAAAGTAATCGCCTCTTTATTTAAATTTATCGTAAGCTTTTGATATAGTGTGTTATGAGATGCTATGGGAGAAGATTCAAAGGCAAAATATTTCCAGACTACTTGTGACAATACTTAAGTGCCGGTATGATAACCAAATTAATATTATTCACTGGCTGAAATGTTTTCTAATGAATATAAATTGGAGTGAAACCCACATTTTGATAGCCTGATAGCTGAACTTAGCAACATGCATACGGGCTGTCATATAGACGGAATTGCCGTTAATAGTCTGAGTTATGCTGATGACATGGTTTTGCAAAGTTCATCGATTAGTCCGCTACGTAAAATCTCAAATGTTTGTAAGTAATACGCTGAAAAATTAGGCTTCTTGTATCTATATATAACACAGTAAAACGCGAATATATATTATTCGGCCTAGGTCGTAAAAAATCTACAATTCCACAAATTGTGTTGAATATGAATAATTCCCTATTAATAGAGTAGCCAAGTTTAAATATTTAGGACATATGATTGCTGATCACTAAAAAGATAATGTTGATATATTATACGTGAACGAAGAGCGGTGCCCGTAAGGGGTAATATGTTGTCTCGCGGATTCGCACGTTGTTCGACTGAAGTAAAAATAACATTACTTAAAGCTTACTGTAAATCTTTCTTCACCAGCTTTTTCTGGGTCAACTGTTCATAGAAGGCATATAATTTTTATTTTATTTTTATGAATGATAATGGATTAGTGCACCCGCCTGCGGTCATGGTTTCCACTGGCGGGGCATCAGTGGATGATGATAAAATGAGATGAGGTCAGGTCAGTTAGCCCATCGTGACAAATTCATCAAGAATTTATCACGATGGTTTCCAGGAGGAACCGCGTGGAGTTCAACCGGACATGGCACGTTGCTAGCAATGGGGTCAAGAATATATACTACTAATAATCCCCTACCTCCCAAACATAACTATTTTAGGTACGTATCAATTCTTTTATTATACACTGCAGTTGTAACACGATCGATATTGAAAAATATTATCGGGAGTTAGTAGTAAGTAAATGAAACTTACATCTTTATTTTTTTTTTTGTTTTTAAACTATTTAACACGACTTTAGTAACAGAGTGATAAACAATCTGATGGACTTTTCTACGGAAAGTGGTGAGCATCGCCTATACTCATAAATAACATCATAGATATTATGAATAAATTATGAAGCTCTCGGCTGTATCTTCTAACCATCAAACTGTTCAGATCGAAACCTAGCAAGAAACAAAAAGATTAATTTACTAATTTTTGATTTAATAAATTAGATTTATATAAGACTAATTTACTAATTTATATTGTAAATTCTAACGTAAAACCTAGAATTACCACCAAGTGACTCACACTACTATACATGTACACTACTGTAGCATAACTAACCTCGATAGGTAGGTACATCGCCGATTTTCAATGAGTGTCCCATTGAAAATCGGTCATGAGTGTATAGTAGTATTTCAATGTCTCTTAAAAGACAGGATAATGTGACTTTTCATAAAATCATAGAGTTATGTTATCTTCAAACATATTTTACAATATCCTCACAGTACATTTATCGTAACCATCTAGGTTTACATACCATTAAAGAATAACCAATATCGATGTATTCGGTTCGATACGGAGTTCTAAAAGTAGAGCATAGCTTACATATGAACATTTGACATAATCCTATAAAGTAGGCACATACGTAAGCTTACAAAGGGTTTTCAATTTATTGTAAATAAAATAATTATTAGGCACCTCGTATACTTATTATGTAAATATAAAATGAAGTCCCAACTCTCTCTTAACTAATAATCTCATTATTTATGTAATTAGATATTTAGTAATGACAGAATGTTATTTTTCTTAGTAAAATTTAATAACAATTTTAAATAATGATGGTAGATAAAGATGATGATGAATGAAAAAAGCTTATTCATTCTTAAACGGCCGTTATCTCACCTTCAATTCTCCTGGAGTTGTGGGTGATGAGCCGCCAATGAGCACCCGCTCATTGGCGGCGGTGATTAGTTACCAGTGTTTGACAATCTCGTTTGTCGCTGCTTAAAAGAATAATATTTCCGTTTAATTAAAAAATATATATTAAATTGAAAAGACTAGAATAACGAACAGGTATTTAAGGTATTTCTAAGTAAAAGCAACAAAGCCGAACAAAAATATTTTATAAATACTATCTATCGGTTTTAAATATAATAATACTGTTTGTATTAGGTATATTGCTATAGCATAAAATGTAGTACAAAGTATAGACTTATTACAACAGGCACATTTAATATCAGTTAAAATTATGCAGTAAAAGAATCGTAAATATTTCTCAAACAACTTCTCATTAAACTGCATACATAACTGAACTCTAGATTCGATTCGTGGTAATAAAATCCAACCAAACGGAAGCTAAACACAAACTAGTTTACAACTAATTTCAGAAAGGAATCACATACCTACATAATAATAAAATTTAACATTAATCTTCCTAAAATAAATAAATTAGCCCGTAAGAATGAAAATTGCCTATACATATTTAAGACATTTAAACAGATACCCACTCAGATGATACTTGGCCAAATTAATTGCTACAAGTATTAAGCAAATAAATAATTTTCATTTCATAGTATAATAATATTTTTGCTTCTAAAGAAATATTCGCACTATAGATAAATTTTATATAGATAATATAAATATTTCTTGGGACTAAAAAAATTGCTATGTATACGTATTATTATTACTTGAGTCATTTAAGTAAAAAAATAGAGACAAATGTGACAGAACTAAGTAATTTTGATGACTTACAATATTTGGTTTACCAAAATTCTTTACGTTATTTAAGTTTATTATGGTAGATATTAAGAGTTAACTCAGTGGCTCACAGTAGGTATATTTATAACTTATTTTATGGCAATATAACTTTTATATCTAAGTAAGATCCAATAACACGTTTCCTCAAGCGAATTAGAACTGGTTAGCTATTTATTTTTATAGCTTCAGTGTTCAAGATGTATCTCAGTTACAAAGTGTTTAAGTTATTAATATTTAATTGTGCTTTTGTTCTAGTTATATGCGACGACTCACCCTTACTAAGATTTTATTATAGGTAAGACTTATAAACTTACATTCACGAATAATCCTGCTATAATATAAGATATCCCATAGATAATATTATCGGGTCGAATATTTTTTTTATAGTTCTATAAGAAGTTGATAGAAAACACTTAAGGGAAAATCTAGTGCCTTTAACCAAGTTGCAGTTACTGATGCTTTTATTAAAAAAATATGTTTTTTTTCAGGTCTATTGATGACTACAAAGAATTTAACTTCAGTGAAGCTTATCAAGTACTTTCTACACAATGGTATAATCCTAATCGAACTACTGTTATATTTACCCACGGATTTCGAGGTTCGTTATGTTCGTAATATTTTATTAATAATATACTGAAATATGGTAAATAATATGTTATTGTTTATCTTGAATAACAACAAATACACATGAAATTAAAATCATACCTTAGTCCATAGCGCAGAGTATAATCTGTGGTGTGGTGAAGTCTTTATCTATGTGAGCCTTGAGCTCGCTTGCTACATACAGTAGATACTTAATTTATAAAAAGTTAGAACGTTATTTATCTATATTTAAACCGATTTCAATATAAGGCATAAAAATGAATACATACAAGTAGTATCCATAGAATAAACATGTAATTATTTAGTTTAATATTAAACCTAAAAATTGATACGTAAGGAAAAAGATGAATAAATAAAAAGTTAAAATTCTAATAAATGCTCCTGTTGATATAGTAATAGCAATATCGTACTCTAAACCTATATGTTTCTTTTTATACAGCTCATATTATCAATTTTAACCACAACGGTTTTTACAAAAACCTAATGAAACAAGGATATTTGTATTTCATTTTTATTCCAGTATAGTGCAGTGTAAAAGCAGAGCCAGGAAAAAACAACATATCTACTTCCACATAAAACACTAATATTGGAAAATGAGGATTCATTCTATCTAATATCATGATTGTACTGAAAAAATTATCTGCCTTTACTAATAATTTCGAATGTAGTCTACATTTGAAATTATTATTAAAGGTGGTTTATATTCGCCTTATTATATAAATAACAGTCTTTATTATCCTATTTAATTTTTTCGAAATATAAAAACAACGACGTTATCTTCATTTATTTCTATGGCTAGTTCTGTTTTTATATTGTTTTATCAATAATATATTTTGTAGGTAATCCCCAAGGGCCAGCTGTAACTGCCGTAATAAAGTCTTATTTGGAACAAGGAAAAAGCAATGTTGCATTGTTAAATTGGGAAAAGTTGGCAGCACCAGTGCTTCCTAGTGTGTTCAATTCTTATGCAAATTGGGCTGCACCTAATGCTAGAAAGGTATGGTATCAGAATAATATAAAAGTTAAACAAATTTATATACCTACTTTACATTATATTAACAAGATTTCTTTATATTATACCTTTTTCAAAGTTAACTTGGGACCATTGAGAAGTCGTACAAAGAGACTATAAAAGTATTATTCATGAAGTAATTTAAAAGTATCGATTTTATTAAGATAGAATAAAAAAGAAATGTTGAAATGAAGGATTTTTTCCAGGTGGGGCAATATTTTGCTGAAACTCTGCTAAACCTGTCGGATGCTGGACTTAATTTAGATAACATACACCTAATCGGCCACTCTTTAGGCGCTCATCTATTCGGTATAGCTGGAAATACGTTGTCTAAAGAAGGAACTCAAGTACCATGGTGAGCTTTGTAAGGGAGCTTTTTTAATTAAAATTAAAAGCTCTAAAAACAACAAGATATAATGTAGCGCATTATTTTCTACCCTGTGTTTGGTAAATACGGTTTAATATCTGTAGCTGCAATGTTTGCTATTTCATTACCTCAGCATCGTGTTTCCACCGAGAAAACATACTTTAAATGTATTTATTTGGATATAGTATAGATAGAGTTTACACCAAAGTATTCATAAAAAAAATCCGTTTATACTGTTATATAAAGTATAAAAGGAACGCTAGATTTTTGTTTCTGTACATGACCGATATTTATCATAATAGAAATGTATTGCAGGTTTACGAATATGCGATATCATAATATGATTATTTATAGAAACGGAGTAGAAAGTAGCGATTTTTTTAAACAATCCATTAGGAGTTCGTTTATATGGCCGCTTGAATAATATGGACGTTACATCTAAGAGCATATTTGATAGATAGGGTTTATAAACAGAAAGCAAAAAATTTCATTAATTAACAATACGATATATAAGGCAGTCCCAAGTAATTTAATAAATACAATTGCATTTTACTCGTGAGTCTTTATATAAACAAAGGTCTTACCTTTATATCAACAATTATTTTGTGTATAAAAATAATAATATAGAGATTTGAACTATATTAGAAACTTATATTCTTAGGGAATTGAAATTTTAAGAAAAAACGTAATCACTTTTTTAATATATCTAATTTATTAGAAACTTTACAGAAACTAGATTACTTTAGTTAAACAAAAAATCCACACAAATATGGTATTAGTACAGATGTTGTAATATTATTTTTTCAGGATAACAGGTTTAGATCCCGCCTCAGTCGGGTTTGAGACTAGACCCTTGTCATCTAAATTACACGCGGGCTCCGCAGGCTTCGTAGATGTCATTCACTCGGACCCTGACCGATACGGGTACAAACGACAAATGGGTACAGTTGACTTCTGGCCTAATTATCGAACTCTGGGGCCTGTCATACAGCCGGGATGTGACAATCGACAACATTCTACATTCAGTATGGAAGGTACATATTTTTCGTGATAATTTTAGTTGAAGTAAATTAAATCATAAATTATAAATAAATGACATTATTAGATTAAGGCAATTACACTACAATACACTGAGATATACACTAAGAGATCGATATTAATGTTCCCTAATGACTTTTTCTCATTAAGCTTTGTTCATGCCTATCAAAGTAACTATGATATACTCGTAATATAACTTGGAAAGCGGAGGTGTAGATGTAATAATATAATACGTTAATAATGATCATAACGGCATGGCGGCATTATTGTTAAAGTAAAGAAATTATTATGTATGCGTTCTAACAGGCAACCTTTGAATAATATAACTTCAGAAAAGAGATTCTCATAAATGTAATTGGATAGCTTTTGAATCTGTATTGTTGTTGGTATTCCTCGTATCCAATTAGTTAACGGTGTTTACGACTGTAACCAGACAAGTGATTGCTACTTACTATTTTTTTGCGAAACCTAAATATTGTATGTTACACATTATGGATACACATTGTTTTAAAATAACTAATTCAATATCTCTTTTTCTGTTAAATATTGGTTGTAGCTAAACAGACAATTGACATTTTAGTTATTTCAATAGTCTGTAATAATTCGTTGTTAAACTCGGTTAAGTGTATTTGTCACGTTCTTTATAAGTAAGAAATACTTTTGGAAATAAAAATATTTCTTCTTAGTTTTTTGTCTATTCTTTTTACATCTTACAAAACTTAGAAAAAGATTATTTCTAGGAGAAATGATTAATTATTTCTATAGAGTTCATTCCTTCCTATTTAATTTATATTGTTATTAAAACAAAAATGAAAAGCGTCAAATATAATTTCAGCTATATTTTTATTTCTATATCGAACATATTGGATAGTATATCCAATATGTTCGATAAACAATAATTCCCTATTGCATATGTATATTAATTTATTTATTTAGTTGAAGACTAACTGATTTATTTTAAATTTTAAGACTATATATGATAAAAATTTAATTTTTGTTCCGGAATTTGTGTGTATTCTCTTATTAAACTGAAAGTATTTTACAAGGAAAATTAATACAAAGAGACTTTATAAAGAGGAAAACAGAATGCTCCAACGTAAGCCTACTACATAAACTTAATCTGATAAACAATAACAGGGTATTTACCAAATTGTTTTCCAGATTTATGTAATCACAATAGAAGTTGGCAGATTTTGGTGGACACTTTAAAATACCCAGGCACCATAATTGGGCGGTTTGCAGAGAATTATAGAAAATGGAAGAACTATTCACAACAAGATGGAGATGCTATAGTATTGGAAATTGGAGTTTGTTTGGAAAATATGTAAGTATTTTAGTAAATTCATTTTATAATTAATTGTAAGACAATCTGGAGGCATATTTTGTATGTAGAATTTTTGACAGTGTAGAGTAAGTGCGGTCCACTAGATGGAAAGTAGGCTTGGTTATTTTTATACATTAACAGTACTGTTATAATTTTAGAATGTGATTACTTTGACTTTCTTCCTATCCTAATACTGCATTCCATTTCTGAAAGAGAACTAAATTACAAGTAATTTCAATATCACTTAATCTGATATAACAGTATGAGTTACATCTGCTTAGCAGCAAAGACAAAGGCAGTATGTAGAGTAAGGAGCAACTTTTTACAAAATCATTATGAACAGTTTTTCCAAATTTAATGGTGATTATGATGCTATTATATATATTGTATATAATTTGTTGATATTTCATTTTCGAAACTTTTATCGAATTGACAGTACCTATATGAAGTAAAAACGTTTATTTACTGAAATTATGTTTCAGAGTCCCAGGAAATTATTATTTTAGAACATTTGCTGAATCTCCGTACGGAATGGGCAGTGGTGGTTTATATCCATAGGAGCAAGCCCGGCCTAATTATTACTCACATTAAAATGAAAACAACATCAATTATTATATTGACTAAATTATTATTTTCATTTATTGACTGGAACGATAACAAATGTATCGTTATCGTTACAGTCAATTTAAGCCTTAATTCAAACTAAAGCAGCAGGTCTTATCTGGAGTATGATCTTAATATGAATTTTAATTTAATACATATTTGTAATGTTCTTTTGAAACGTAATATATAACTACAGCAACATAATAAGCGGAATAAATCGACAACAATAACGGTAAATTCTTTTATTGACTGCTAGTTTATAATTTAATTATATAAGATGGTGTTAGAGGGTGTAAACAATGTCATTGTAGAGTCATGGTATACATTACATAATATTAGTTTCATAGTTTAAATGTAGCCTTTCCTTATACATGTGTACTCGAAGTCATAGAAAATGGATCTATAAGAATATCTACTAAGAGTTTGCCATCGATATAATGATTTGTTATTCATCAAGAATTGGATAGATTAATCACCCGGGAATTTTTTCACAAATCATTATAGCACTTAAAAAGAAAATGGATTCCTTGATGAGAATGCCAAATAATACCGCACTTTTGTATTGCAAAATTATACTCTACTTAATTTTTTACTTTAACGTATAGTTTTTATATACTTTACTATTTGTAATAAATCAACAATATCTCTACCATTATTGGTCCCGATAAAACTTCATCATATACCGTAGTGGGTACTTAAAAAAATATAGTAAAAAAATATTAATAAATTAATCATTGAAGGATTAAAATTTAATTATTGTTATACATATATATATATTAAAACAGTTAATACAGCTATGAAGTTTAAAATTGTATCACGTATAATTGTTAAAACCGTGATACCCTTATTCTGGTTAGATTACGTAAATAATTCGTAACATACACTAAGAAATTTAATGATTTTTGGTATCTGTACTGAGTAGGTACAAACTTTGTTTTTCTATTTTCTAGTCAAGATCGAGACTAGAGGCATATAAAAAGTATTTAGAATATTGTACACATATGAGTATTGTAGACATGTACCTACCGATCTTGCTTGAGGAGCTGACTCCTTTCCTTGAAATGGTTTTCATTTCGAAATGTCTGTTTGTACAACACGGTTCACTGTGAGGCAGCCGCTGGCCCTAGCAGCCCAAGGGAATCTTCTGTTTATGGACTACTTCTTTTGAATAAACTCTTGATAGTCTTTTGACATTAAAATGTCTTGTCGTATCTTTATTATTCACTATACAATTGTAGCATTACAAATAAGAAATTGTGAACGAAATTGTGAAGATGTATTTATCTTTTTAATAATCTCATAATTATGTGTATATATTATGTCATACAAGTATTATATAAATTTGATTATGTTGTAACGTAATATTACACTTAGTCAGCGAATAAAAAGATACAGTTTAACAACTCAATTGCGGACAAAGAAAAATAGTTCGTCAACCTGACTGCCGGACATACAGTCGAATTTTAATAATAATAATAATCTTAGGACATTTCACACAGCGCTATCTAGACCCAAGTTAAGCTAGTTAAAGCTTGTGTTATGGATAACTGATACAAATGCAAAGATTTTTTTTCGTAAATACATTCATATTGTACATAGAAAACACCCAGACCGATACAAGCAATCATACTCATGAATACAAATGTTTGTGCCGTACGAGGAATCGAACCCGCGACCATGGGACGTAAAGCTGAACCGCTAGACCACCGACGTTGTCGAATTTTGCTAAGTAACACATGATTATGTGGACAGGTGATTTCTGACATAGGGTAAGGATAAAAAAACTTTACAACTGTAACATTCCACTGAAGCAAATATTTGGCGCAAACAGAGCTGCCACAAATAACTAGTTAAGAACAAGATTGATAAAAATTGTTACATTAAAATTTAAAACATTTCACAAGTATCTCTTTTGTAATTATTTCACATGGATATTTATTTAGGTAAAAGATATTTTCATTCTCAATAATAAGATTTTATAACAGGAAAGAGGGATAGAATCCACGTCAATCCAATTACATTCAGCTTTTATTTTTCATCACGTTTCTAGCAGGTGTTGTTAGAGAAAATATTTGCCTATAATTCCGAAATTGGATATTTGAAATCTAACATCCATTTTAGAATATAGAACAGCAAAATATAGTCATAAATGTTTTAGTAAAATTTTAAAATGTCGATGTCTAATTTTCAGAACAACTTATTTCCGAGTGCGTATTGTTAAATTATTTCGCTCAATTAAAATTTTCCTGTTTCCAAACTGTTTTAAAAAAGTTTAATTGATATAATGAAAGTAGTTACATAATGAAATTCGACTGGCTGGTCTGTGTTTGGCAAATATTTTTTTGCCAAAACAAAGAGATCATACTATTGTTTTTTCTATATAGTTGGTGTTACCTCATCGGATATCACATTTTCATATATATATTATGTGTTTATGTTTATGTTTACGTATATAGGTCACAGTTGTCACCACTGAGTTCCAGTTATAAAAAAAAAGTCAGAAAATTCATATTTTACTGCTCTGATTCTCAAACAAATAACTCATCAATGACAACCCTATTAACGAAATACCAAAATAGGGATTGTGATTTATTCATCTCTATCTAACCATTATGTGTTTACTGTTGTGTGGATCTTTGTATATTTCAATACAAATAACTATACTACTGTAACTTATCTACTAGCTCCACAGTTTTTATTTATATAAATTTGAAATTTAATATTGAGATTTAGACTGTAGTTCTGTCTATCGGGTGCAAAGTCGATTCGATCGTAAATGTTTTAACCCTTCCATTTCTATCAGAATTTTTCAATTACAATTTCTCATACTTGACGTCACTTTGCCGACGTTGACGTATTATGACCTCTTTCTCACGGCTAAAGTAAATTATAGTACCACCAATGGGAGTGTCTACAGAAGTGATGGCTTAATGATAGACTAACTCCGCGGTGAAAAAGGTGTTGTTTGAACCACACTTCGAATATTTTAAAAACACTGAATTATCAGGTGTTTTTATTTTAATGTGTAAAATAATTTCAGTGTATGGATATTATTAATGTAGCTAATAAATACTTAATACCACAAATTTTATTTCTTTTTGTGAAAGTAAACCTAAAATTAAACTTATTTTAATACTTAGGTACCTACTACTACCAAAATGGCAGTTAGCGCCTATATTTTCCAATTAACAACAGGTAAAGTATTTAGCTACACAAACACAACTTTATTGAATGCTACAAGCTTATAAAGTTATAACAAGCCCCATTGAAGCATCTGCCTCTACCAACTTGACTAATTGTTCTAATTCTGATCTATTATCTTCAGTAACCTAAGGTAGTACAATTTAATTACATTGCTACAATAATATTTCAATATCACAAAAGGTCGTTCAGAGCGACGTGGTTTAAACAATATTCATCAGCAAATATGTGTGCACATTTTTTGTTTATCGCAGATTTAATCAAAGTTGTATCTAACACATATATCTAGCATCATTGCCAATTGGTTTATGGCCAAAAGTCCCGAGTTCTAATGTAATGTCTAATGCTTTATGTGTTTATTTATACTCGTAATTCGGACTAACTCTCAGGTGATGGTGGTTACAGTTAACAATGTCTATGACTACGTCATCAGAGATAACAGCCATGAAAGTAGGTCTATGATTATTATAAAAAAGTTTTCTCAGTTATATTGATTTAATGACTTATTTGTCGAATAAGAAGTTTTTCTACCGGCGGCATCTACTTGAGGTCAGCAAGAAAGTTTCAAGTTTGCCTAATAAATTATTTTGTTGTTGCCGTGTTCCAGAGCCTCACACACGCACATCCTAATCACTGTAATAATCGGCATCGGTAGCGGTAATCTATTTTACGGAGTTTCTGTTTGTATAGAAAGATTATTTTATCGACTTTTTAATTCAGACGACCCTGACAGTGCCATATTTTATTCTCAATACACTATTAGAAAGTGGTGTTTGTTAAATTTGCTGCTGCATAATCTACACTATTATACTATTATAGATTCTACTGTCTACAGACTGTGAGAGTCATAAAAAGTTTTCATTTAGTTAAGTTTAGCTTATAAGTTCTATATTAATCATATAAGTAATCTACAATTTGGAATATTATTTATCTACTTAGTAATATCCAAATGTTGTTACGAGTATATCTAAAAACTGTACATATTGGTTCTATATTTTTCATACTTAAAAAAACTACTATTTATGAATTTTCGGTCTATGCGAGGTTAGATATATTTTTCATATTTTATTTTTTCAGGAAGCTTTATCAACGCAATTATATTAATAAGGTTTTTATACACAAATAAATGAAGTCTCAATCAGCATAAAAGCTTACAAAATTGTGAGGAGGGTATACCTACGGCAATTTTCATTGCGTTTTAAAACAGGCGGTACGCAACCGAAGTCGTTCGCTACATCTGTTTGACAATTTACGCTTTTAATAATGGCCGACACTGCCTTTGAATCGGTCGCGCACGAATTAACAAGCGGCTAAATTAAAGCCTTCAAAGTTTTTGCAGTGCAAACGGTCTGGTACGCCCCCGAGTTCGTTTTGTCCTAATTCAGCCGCGGGATTGAAGAAAATTAGAAAGGGCCTAAATCGGTTTCACTAAAATGAATACAGTATCGGCGCCGCGGCGGGGTGAACCAGACTGGTGTAAATAGCACAGCTGTTCCACGACATAATGACATTTTAATAGGCCGTTATTATGTAGGACATCAAATCAAACAACACACGAGATTTCATTCAAAAAGTTATTGGATAATGTCACAATTATATGCGACGTTTATAAACGATTAACAATGGAATCTGGCTTTAAGAATATCAAACTACAAATAATAAAATTCAAACCAATTGATAGGTACAATCGTGATAATTATAAATCACAGTGGTTGCTTACATTCGTTTAAATTTTAATGAGACCATTGTATGCGACGAAAATACGCTTTTACAAACATTTTTTTTATAAAATTGATATTTGATGAAAGAAAATAAATATGATGTATTTCTTTGACCGTCGTAGCAAGGAATGGTAACAGTAAGTTGCTCGCATAGTAGTTAGATGTAATTATAGACTGGAGAGCTTGCTAAATTATCCCCTAGGTCTATTATTTTCATAATTTATGCAAGCCAAAGTGCAGGGCAGAAACGTCAACCAACTATAAGTTTAGTCAATTACCTACAGTTTACTGTCGATATTCATGTTATCAAATATATATAGTAATTGTAGGGGATTACAAACCATATTTGCTATTCCACTGTCATTGATACTCGTACTATAACGTTAAAAAATAATATCTATCGATTAATTCCACTTTTGTCCATGCTACATATGATACAAGTAGTAGAAAATAATTTTCTAACTTACGTGTCCTACTTAAAATTAATGTATATTTAAGTATGCATACGTACGTAAGTACTATTTATTTCATTTTAATATTATTTTACATTTTCAGATTCAATATGTTATTATGTGTGTGTGTACATGTAATTTATTTTTATTGCGTGTTATGACTTGACACGTCTTCAACCATTTATTCTTAATATAAACATGCTAAATGCCTTAATTGTAGATTAAGTCGTCGCAATAAGTTTTCGTGGCAAACACTCTCGCGTGTAACACGACATAAATATTTTGTTTAGTCATCAAAATAAAACAAAGTCATGCGTGAACATGTATTCTTAAACATTTGACTTCAAAATTAGCATAGCAAGGTCAATTAAAGTCACAAGTTTAACATTCTGTAAGACTTAGAAAAAGCTATTAACTGTTGCCACTTGTAACAATTTACTTTCAGGTGAGGTATAGATATTGTATGCCAGACGCCATACAAGGAATGACACTCGAAAGCCTGCTGCCATTAGGCCCCAGTTCAATGATTTATATGTAATTTTTCTTTAATTTTATAAAACTAAAATGCCATCTGATCTACTGGTAAGTGGTAACCGTCGTCTATGTACATAAACAGCATTAGAACATCGCATACATACATCCGTACTACCACTCATACGGTGCCCTTCAGGAGGACTAAGATGTCTCCGTGCCTTGTAATTGCACTGCCTTATACTCTTTAACCGCAACACATCTTATTAGGCAAGTACTTTGGCAGCTGAAATTGGTGACATAAAGGTACTCACGCAGGCTTTGTACAATGTCTACTTCGTTAAAAATTTGTTAATTTTTATTAAAAACATAACTTGTTTTTTTATATTATGACCATGAGATCAATCGACAAAGTAAAGTAGATCATTCTCTAAGATACCTAATGGTAACATTTTATTATACAGTCAGTAAATCAGTGGGACTGGACCAGACAGAAAATATGTCCAAAATTGCTACTATAAGCAGCACGATAAATAACTTCGATAAATATTATCATCTACCAATTGCTTTTTCTCTTTACGATAACATGAAATCATATGAATAAATTTGTATCGGTATAACTGATCTATTTACTTTCAATGACCATTATTATCATCATGTTGTATCTATATATTGGATACATAACTATAGTAATTCCAAGAAATAAAACATACGTAAATGTCTATTTTATGTACTTACATGTAAATCTATTTTATGTACATGTAAATAATTAATCTTGGATAATTCGTTCTCTAGTCCAAAGTTAAGAAGAGCTCATAATTATATGTACTAAATGACAAATGGAAATAGTTTAATGCATATTTTGCATAGAAAAACGTCAAGTCGAACAAGCGGATTTAAACCTTTAATTTTTCGTCATGTTGGATGTAAGTCATACGTACAAAGTGCATGCATTATACACAATAGGTATCTTTTCCTATATTATTATTAGAATAATAAAGAAGCTCAAAGGTATATATAAATATGAGTAAAGAATAAACACCTAATTGTATTTCATTAGCCTAAGTCAATATTAGTTTTATAATCTGTTTAGAATTAGCTGCTTTACTTTACTTTTTACAGAATCCGGAAATCTCTATACCCGTGGGATTTTCTAAAAATCATTTCTCTGTGTAAAATTTGGAGTATCTATCCCCAAAAGAAATGTACATGCCAAATCTCAGTTACATAGATTAAATATTGAGAGGACTTGATTATTGATTTAGTGATGTTTTTATTAACAAAGCTTTTTGGTTTTTCTAAGTTACGGTTTGTGACTCCAATTTTATAGAACTTACAGATGTATAATATTCGTACTTCTTGGTAAAAATGTAAGATACCAAAGATCAATGGAATTAGACCAATCAGGTAAAATTGAGCGTTAAAATATTTTCTTCTTAGTAATATAATTTACAAGTAGATTACTAACACAATATCGATCATAATTTAAAAATTTATCAAAATTAAATATATAATATAAATTAAATAAATAACTATAAATTATGTAACTTTAAAGAGCGACAATATACCAACGAATGTTCTTGCGATGCTTTAAATTTTCCAGTTACATTAAATATACATTGATGGGTTGGGTCACTTGATCAAGGGCTAGCAGTATTTCCGGTTAAATGTAACGCGACGCCGTCAAACTTATTGACCATCGTTAGTCATTCTAATGTGAACATAAATTGTGGCGGCCAAGTCGTTTTATTTAACATCCACTATATTGCATTTCATTATTAAAAAAGTAAGTACTCATATATGAGGACGCCGAGGGTAGCGGCCTAGGTATTATCGCAAAATATAGTGTCGGTGACAAAAAACTTTATGTGACAATTTCTAACTAATTCTTCAATGATGAAAAGACAACAAACCAAAATTAATTATAGAAGTTGAAGCTTGCCTTCTGATATGTTTTAATCAAATATTCTCATTGAAAATGTCGGCATGTTAAGTGTTACGTTCATTATAATAGCGGCCAGTTGATAAAACTGAGTAAATAAGATACGTGTTAAATACATTTTATATTCTCTACGAATAACTGTTCTTATGCTTGTAGATTGTATGTAAATATATACAATAATTGTTTCATTTTGTTTTTTTGTAATTGTTATTTTATAAATTGTGGTCATGAAGTTATTTAGATTTTCAATTATTTTATATTTCTCAAAAAGTTTTTCTTATTTTGTTTATATATCAGGTATATTTAGGTATGTGATAGATCTACAGCGGATGCGATATTTCCTGAAGAATTTCCTGTAGATAATTGAAAGATAATGAGTAGTCACTAATCCCTAAAATCTAATTTAGGAAATTTTGTGTACATACTCCTTAAGAATGTATTATTTAATAAAATATTTTATATTTAAGGTCTATTAAAATATTTGATAATAAATTCTAATTACTGCAATAATTAAATATTAAATAAAATTTACATGAAATATTTCTGAGAGACACGAAATAAATAACCTTAAAATAGGGCTAAATGGTTAAACCCTTAAGATATGACAGAGGTCAGTAAGCATTCGCCCCATCAAACCTCGTCAAACGTTAAAGAGAACAGAATATATCATATTTCTACGTTTATATCAGTGTCTACCCTATTTAAATATACATACATTCGAATCCCTTTTTTTAAATATCTATCTATAACATATATATATACAAATGCTCAAATTGAAACAAATTTCTTTCGCTTCTACTGCAGTTATTAATCTGTAATTACACTAGGTATTTAATTAAAATTCACTGTACAGTTAAAAACTATTATGAGTCTCAGTAGATTGCTACTTATTGTCAATACAAAAAGGTTATTTGTTACTTACAATTGGCTCTGTACCAAAGTGAGGAAAATATTGGATTGTATTGGCAAGAAAAAATGCTTGTTCTTCGTTGTTAGGATTTAGTACCATTAAATTGCTAATAAATATGTAAATAAATTTATTTTTATAAAACGTATCATAAAATTAAGAAACTCATGTTTAGTATACTTGTTAATTCGTTAATAAAAAAACAATTTTAACTATTATTTTTTCGCATAAATCGGACTCTATATATTTTATTTGATTTAAAATATAGCAATTAATTCTAAATATGATATTGATATGTAGTATCCCAAATATCATATTTGTATTCTCAAATTGAATGAAATGAATTTTAATATTAAAAAATGAAATTTTAATATTAGGATACAAAATTTTTTTCACTAACATAATAATTCTTAGTAAATTAGCTGCATACTTTAATACTATAACACTGTTGTATTTGAATCATCGACGGATTTCTATATTTTAGTATAAGGTTCCGTTTTTTTAGGAATAACTTAATTATGTAGAAGAAAAGAAGACTTTTTTGTTAGTTCTTCTCGACTCATACTAAATTCAGAACTTATGGTAAATTTAACTTATCATACAGTGTCTATAATACATCTGTCTGAATAAGGATATTTGCTATGATTTGAACATAATTATATAGACAAAACTGAAAAGCTTTATTAATATTAGACTTCGATACAAAATAAGTATCTTAGTCATGTAACGTTCTATGATATGTGAAACTAACCTGAAAGACATCAGATGGTTGTTCAAAACTATCACAAAGTGTAACATATGGGTTTATATATTGTTGTTTAGGTACTGACGCTTTCAAAGTATCTAGCTATTAACATACTAGTATTGTTAAATTATTACTTACAATACCAGTGAGATTCAATTTTTTATGAAACTCTGATAAAATTAAGACTTCGCAGAAATGGGTAATTTGAAAATTATAATTGTTTATGAGAAATAAATCAAGGTTGTTACGTATATATATATATATATATATATATATATATATATATATATATATACATATTGACCGGAAGATTGTGGTTCTGGGGGAAGATTTCCAGGGGCAAAGCTCATTGCCACCACACGCGTCGCAGGTTGCGGATAGCGAACGGCCTTCAGATATGGAGGTTAGCTGCGAATAACAACCAAGCAGTCGCGGACAATGCAGCGGTCTGTCGGAGAGGTGCTGGGGAGCCCATGGCGGGGTATACCTTTATAAATAGCGCGCAAAACTCCATGATGACGGATGGCAGTGGTGAATTAGGGCCACCACTATAAACAAAACTTTTGTGTCCGGGGAGTTGGACTTCGTCAACCTTGGTTGGTAGTTCAAATAGGAGAAGGAAAACTCCGATTTCGAACCAAACAAGCCCTCCTGGAAGAATACTGTGAGGTGAGGCTACCGGGGAAGATCAAGAAAAGAATAATAACCCGAGATAGCAGGTATAATAACTTGCATCCTACTATTCCCAAGGAGGGTTGACGTCAGGCAGGCGGCCGGTCAAAAAAACTGAAGCCAAAACCATTCTCTCGTAATATGAATTTGAGTGAAAGAATTGATGATCGGACTAGGGCGTACCCCCGAGGCGACGCGCAGGAGCAGCACCCGGCCACTGCGAGAAATGGAAAAGGGTTGTTGCACCACAACGGGCGGGTGCAACGTAAGAAGCAAGTCCAAAAAATAAGAGAAGTATGTATGAGGTGTGTTAGTTGGAATGTAGGTTCAATGACTGGAAGAGGAAGAGAGCTAGCGGAGGTATTAAAGAGGCGAAGAATAAATGTGGCGTGTGTACAGGAGACTAAATGGAAAGGAGCGAAAACTAAAGAGATTGGGGAAGGATATAAGTTTTACTACATAGGAAATGATGGAAAACGGAATGGGGTTGGAATAGTGCTAGATAATGAACTGAAAAATTGTGTGACAGATATAAAAAGGATAAGTGATAGAATAATAGCTGTGAAAGTGATAGTCGAGAGCATGATTCTGAATGTCATTAGTGTGTATGCTCCTCAGACAGGAAGTGATGACGATGTGAAAGCAATGTTTTGGGAAGATTTTGATGGCTTGATGATAAGTATCCCAGAAAGTGAAGAGCTATATGTTGGGGGTGATTTTAATGGACATGTAGGCGTACAAAATGTAAACTATGATAGGGTTCATGGGGGGAGGGCAATTGGCAACCGAAACGAGGACGGCGAAACTTTATTGGAAACTGCTTCCGCATTTGACCTAGCTATAATAAACACTTGGTTTAAGAAGAAAGAGGAACACCTTATCACCTATAAAAGTGGCCAGTATGCGACACAAATAGACTTTTTCCTGACGAGAAGAAACAAGTTACTACTGTGAAAGACTGTAAAGTGCTGCCGGGGGAAGATCTAGTTACACAACACAGACTATTACTAATAGAAATAAAAATTAAAGTACAGATACATAAAAATAGGAAATGCCCCCCACCTAGAACTAAATGGCGAATGATAGAATAAAACGAGTATGTAAGTAGATTCAAGAAAGAAGTTGTAGATAAAATGATTAGTATGAAAGACATGAAAGGAAAAACAGTAAATGAATGTTGGGATGAAATAGCACATTGTATAAGAATGGTAGCAAAGCAGGTCTTTGGAGAAAGTAAGGGAAAGTGTATAATAGATAAGGATACATGGTGGTGGAGTGAAGAAGTACAAAAAATATTAAAAGAAAAGAAGAATGCTTTCAAAGATTGGCAAAAGGTACCTACAGAGAATGAACGGCTGAAAGAAGAGAAAAAGATAATGTATAAAAAATTTAAAAAGGAAGCAAAAAAAGTAGTTGCAATAGCTAGAACAAGAGCCCTAGATAAAATATATAGGTCACTTGATGACCCTAGTGGCCAAAAAGAACTATACCGGATAACCAAAATGAGAGAAGAAAGAGCGAAAGATATGAAGCATGTAAAATGTATAAAAGATGATACAGGACAAATTTTGTTGAAAGATGATGACATAAAAGCACGTTGGAAGGGATATTTCAATAAACTTATGAATGAAGAAAATGTGTGGGATGATGCTCTAAAAGATGTCTCAGTAAACATTGGTGTAGTGAATGAGATTAGTATGGATGAAGTAAGAAAAGCAGTGAAAAGTATGAAGAATGGGAAAGCAGTCGGGCCAGATGGTATACCAGTAGAAGTATGGAAATTATTAGGAGATGATGGCTGCAGGTGGCTGGCTTTATTCTTTAATAAATTATTGCAAGAAGTGGCGATACCTGAGGAATGGTGCAATAGCTCACTAGTGCCCATTTTTAAGAATAAGGGTTATGTACAGGATTGCAATAATTATCGGGGAATAAAGCTAATGTCGCACAGTATGAAAGTATGGGAGAAAGTGATAGAGAAGCGATTGCGTGAAGAGACGGATATCACCCAAAACCAGTTTGGATTTATGCCAGGCCGAAGTACCACAGATGCCATATTTTCACTGCGTCAGCTGTGTGAAAAATACAGACGTGCTCACAAGAACTTGCACATGGTGTTCGTCGACCTGGAAAAGGCGTACGATAAAGTACCCCGACCGGTTTTGTGGTGGGCCTTGAAAGATAGAGGAGTGCCAGTGAAGTATGTGGAGTTAATCCGTGCTATGTACAGTCAACCTTGTACATATGTGCGGTCGGCCGCTGGAAACACCAGCGAGTTCAGTGTGGCTGTAGGCTTGCATCAGGGATCGGCTTTAAGCCCGTACCTCTTTTTGTTGATAATGGATGCCTTGACGTCGGAGATACAAGAAGAGGCACCCTGGTGCATGCTATTTGCAGATGACATTGTGCTCGTTGGTGAGGAGGGGGCTGGGATACAGAGTAGATTGGCGATGTGGCAGCAAAAGCTGGAAAACGGGGGCTTAAAAATTAGTGTTTCCAAAACGGAATACATGTTTTGTGATTTTGGCGGTCTTTCTGGCTCTGCAGCCATATCACTAAATGGTGCTCAATTACCGATTTGCTCCGATTTCCGGTATAGGTTCTCTCCTCCAAAGCAAATTAGACAGGGCCATAAAGCATAGAATTAACGCAGGATGGATGAAGTGGCGGCAGGTTACGGCAACGACATGTGACTCGCGTGTTCCCCTTAAGCTTAAGGGGAAAATTTACAAGGCCATGATCCGGCCTGCTGTCTTGTATGGATCAGAGTGCAGGCCCGTAAAGGCGACGGATGAAAGACGACTGCATGCAACTGAAATGAGAATGTTGAGGTGGATGTGTGGTGTGACAAGAATGGATAAGATAAAGAATGAATACATTAGAGGAAGTATGAAAGTGGCACCGGTGTCAGAGAGGTTGAAGAGTAATCGTCTATCATGGTATGGACATGTAATGCGTAGGAACGAGGATAATATTTTAAGAAAGATGTTACAAATGAATGTGGATGGTTATAAGGGCAGAGGAAGGCCAAAAAAGAGATGGATGGACTGTGTGAAAGATGATATGGTAAGAAAGGAAGTAAATAACGCGATGACTGCGAACAGGGATGAATGGAAGCGAAAAACATATTACGCCGACCCCAAATAAATGGGATAAGGAAGAAGCAGATGATTTGCGCTATATATATTGTGAAGGTATATTCAGATATATTAAGTTACTTAAATTTTTCTCTTATTGAATTTCCTGTTTTTATGACAATTTCACAAAATACAGAAATTTTCATATAGTACTGAACTAAAAGCTGTTTTTTGTTTTCTGTATATTGATGGATCTTTCAATACATTTCTTTTTATTATACTCTACGTATAGACCATTTAAGAAACAAACCAAGCCTCTCCAACCGTTATGTATGTTAAAAAAGAACAAGTATTTTCTTCTTTGAATTGCTCTTAGTTTTTTCTGTTTGCTTTTGAGGAACCTGCTCGTGAAATAAATAAATAGCATTAAAACGTATACTTATAAATTGTATATTTAAATTAATAGTTCGTATTTTTCATGTGACTAGGATGGTAAACAATCTGCCGGCTCACCTAACATTAAGTGATAACCGTCGCCTACATACATAAACATATATAATCTTAATTTTATATTCGTAGTAATTTTCTTGCATTTTGGCGTACTAAGATGTCATGCTTCCGTCTCCTATAATTTTACTGTTATATCTCACACCTTTTACCCAAACACAACTTACAGACGGTACCCGCGTAGATAACTTTTACAATTTGTATCTAGGTGAAATTGTATTTTTTATCATTCAGTGTTGTAAATTTAATTGCTGCATGCTGTATACTTTTTTACAAGTAAAATTCAACAGGCTACCAACAGGCATGCGCAGAGCAACTCCAAAATGCCTACATGTATAGGAAGTTTTCAGTTCGTGCTTGTATATAGTTTTGCGTGGATGTTCCCCGCGTATCACAAGCTTTTCGGCTTAAACTTCGTGGTGTACCGAAAAAGTTGTACGTTGTGTTCGAAATAGTTCGGTCATGGACTAAAGAACTATGGATTATTTTGGACAGTTCGTGTTACTAATATTCTGTTCCAGTTTGTATCGATTGCACTAATATGTAAATGTTGTGCTTTATGTTTGTCGGTGTTTTGTTGCGTGCTAAAAGTTTCGCCGCGTGTAATTTCCTCGCTATCCCACTTTCTAATTTAGACGGGTTTGCTTCAGTAATGTCGTGTTTATATGAAATCCATTAACATGTTTATATTGGTGCTTTGTTTACTATCACGTACGTAAAAGTTAGTTTGTTACTATCTAAGATAAATAAAGTGATTACTACGCAGACAGAATCCAATCTCATCCTGACAACTATATAATATATAATACAAATATACATTTACAATAAGTATCTAAATTCTCATTCCAAAGGTATCATGTGACAGGCAAGTTCTCAGTCACCTTTTTTGTCTATTCGTCTGTTGCGACGAAAATATATTTTGATTTATAACTTAGTGATTATGAAGACTGTTCTGTGCGATATATTAGGAGTGTATTGTTGAGAACAGTGTTACTAGAATATTTCGTAATATTTCTCTTTTCTCTTTTGAACTTTTAGATTCCTTTCTTTTGAACGTCACCTTTTCATGTTATTCGTAAAGTTAAATAAATGAAGTTGTATGATATACTTATTGTATAATGTTATTTATGAAGCCATCTGCTGTTTGAAATTTAAACGCGATTTATAGACGTAAAGTTTCTTATAAAACACTACAAAGAATGAAATGTGGTCATTGTGTCAATTTGACAACACTCCTATAACTTCCAACATAATATAAAAATTTGGTCTTATGTATCCAACTGTAATTTATTAATGTACAGACAATAAGCTATTTTCGGTACTTTTTACTTGGTTGTCAAAGTGTCAATATATAAGATATTTACTCTGACATCATTGCATAATATAAAATAAAGTCGCTGTCGCTATCTGTCCGTCCCTATATATGCTTAAATCTTTAAAACTACGCAACGGATTTTGAAGCGATTTTTTTTAATAGATAGAGAGATTCTAACGTAAGGTTTATATATATAATATATCTACATTCGGGCAAAACCTATAAAAGTCAGATATTTCTTTTTACAAACAGATAAGTTTTAATTTCATTTACAGATTAGTTAACTTTTACTTTTTCTATAAGTAGAAATTAATCAAAATATTTTTATTCATATAGGTTTATTACAGACTTTTATTATATGTTTAATCTACTATATGTTCGTTGTGCTTTCGATCTAAGAAGAACTGACTAGAAATTCGGCTCTTAATAAAGTAGCAGTAGCAAATAAAAGATAAATAGATAATCATGAAAAACACACATTCTAATAATATATAAATATTCGTAAATAACCATGATACCAAAACGGAGTATTATATATACAGTAGTGAATATTTGTTTCTTTGTGCAATATCCATTGATACTCAAAAGCCTTTGTGAACCATTATTGCTATTATAGTGAAAGTGTATCTCCGGAAGTATATCATTACATAGTATAAAACAAAGTCGCTGTCGCTGTACGTCCTTATGTATGCTTAAATCTTTAAAACTACGCAACGGATTTTGAAGTGGTTGCTTTTTATAGATAGAGTAATTCAAGAGGAAGGTTTATATGTATAATACATCTATGAGAAGCCGGGATGGATAGCTAGTAAATATAAATTATGAATATATCCATCAACATTTAAATTTCTCAACAACTCTAACCGAATATTTCAGCATTATTACAATTTCATAGAGCATGAAAATAAAATTACATAAATTGTAATAACTGTCATTAATTGCAGTAGGTAATTAAGAAAGAACTATGAAATCTATTTTTATTACCGAGATAATTAATATATTTTAACAAGTAAGACTTTGTCCCTTTTAGGTTACTAGACGGTTAGTTACTTAGCTTACTGAGATGTATTTGTTTGTTTTCTAAGACAGTGAAATTACAGTCTACATACATAACATCATATATATGTATAGACATGTTGTAGCTTTCTTGTCTTTATAGTTACGTAAAAAAAGAATATTATTAAAGTAATATTTAGTTCTTTCTTGTTCGGTAGTCATTTGAATTCCAAGCAAATGTAGCCACATTTAAACGGTTGGATAAATTACTCCTCTTGTATTATATAGCCCTAGTAACAGCTTTTCAATTAGGATCAAATTACATTGAAATTATTGATAGATAATATGTGATATATATTTATAGCGAAATAGTTGACAATAAATTTAATTTCTTATTAAATATAGAATTAAATAAAATTAAATAATAGCCTACAATTATTTTAGTATTTATATTGGAAAGTACTATCAAATACAAACCTTTAACTATTTGGTAGTGCATTTTAATGTAAAATTTATTCACAGACAAGCGTAAGCGATATCATAAGCAATCTTGGGACAATAATTCTTTATGTGTACAAATAAACGTTTTGCTTCAAACATACAGTCGATAGCTTTCGATTTTATATATAGGTAGTTACGACATAAAGTGCCTTTACGCGTGGCTTATTTTACAAAAGCCCTCCCAATGGAATGTGACGGGGTTGTACTGTACATACATACATACATAATGTTGTATCCGGAGAACTTTGAAACATCAACGTTAAAGGATCTTTAAGTGTCAGTACATATGTTACAATCGTAAGTACTTACTAGTGATTCAGTATTGCTATTTAGTGTATTAAAATTTAGCAGCAAAACGTTTATATATATATTATTCAAGTCAAAATTTATATTACTATCCCTACCGCCCAAACATACGAAAGTGCTCGTTGAAATAATTCCATAATTATAATACCTATTCATAACTTCAATAATATCGACTCAGACATGACGAATCACTGAGTCAGTTAGGACTTATTCTCTTTATAATATTGGTATAGATTCATGTACTAAAATAATAAACGTTTAAATATTGAATTCATTTACCCCGATATGAAGGAAAATAACCACTTGAAATCTGTTCAATTTTCATTATAGTCATCGAAGTTGTTTCCACGAAAGCTTATATAATTAAAATATTTTAATACTTGTATATTAATTAGTTTATTGAATCGAAGGAAAGTTGAGTGTAGTGTTTACCAAAATGAAATGGCAACATTCAAGTAATTGCTTGATAACCATAGGCGGTTAAACGATTTTTTTCTACAGATGTAATGTTTCTTACTCTGTCGGATTTTATCATTAATGACAAATATAATATATTTGTCAGACTTTATCATAAATGACAACAGTATATCGTATAGTCTTATTCTAGATTGGCATACATTTTTATGATTATTCACTTGAGCAACGGCGAGGTATAAGCTATACCTCGTTCCTTCTTATCATAGGAGTTTGCCTACAATATCTTCGTAAATGCCTACGAAATATTCTTACATTCATGCATTGCCATAATACACCAGCGTTCATGATTAGAGATATCAGTCAATCAATGAAAGCAATTCTATGATGTAGCATAGAGAAAAAAACAAATAAAAAAATATTAGTTTATAGGATTGCTGCTCACTAATTGGGCGATTTGTTTTAATCTATTACGTCATTTATTTTGTTTAAAAAAGTTAACAAAAGTTAAAAAAGTTTCACTCGCCGTTATTCGCATATATAATCTTTACATAATATAATTTAGGTGCGATTGCTTCCACTTCCCTATACCTTCGATCTTAGTACCCAGTAGTGAGTATCTAATATAATATGGCGATCTGAACACAACCATCTCACCCCAAAATTCACATATCTTTCGAACCCAATGAACCGTACCAATAGTAAGTATGTAATATTGTATTGGGACTTTTACCAGAAAACAATATGTTGCGTAATTTCCTGTGCTTAACAGCCCGAGGGCAAACTTCCTCTTTATGTCATTTGTTACTATTCTGGCCATCTTTTTATTTTGATTAATTAAATACTTAATTAGAAGTTATTTCCATTATTCACTGCTAATAGGGAAGTTGCCTGTAGTTTTGTTGATTGCCAGCCTTATCATTAACCTTAGTCTACTGCTACTCTATTCCATATTTTATAATCTATATAAATATTTATTTATATCTTCAAACTTGGACGATTTTTTAGCTTATACGAGTCTAACTACGTATATTACATGACTAAGCGAACAATGAAAGCAAGGGTAAAGGCAACAAGGGACAAAAGTAATAATGCATTTTTTTATCATAACAATATTATAGCCTTGTTTATATGTAGGTATATTAGAATAATAATATTTTTTATTTATGTTTAAGCATTCCAACACTCACATAATCTAATGCATAAGATATATATTATTATTATATAATTACATTTGACTAAGCAATTACCTATGCCAGAAATTTAAATTTGAACTGACAGATATACCAACTAATTAAATCTAGTATAGTAGAAAAGATATATGGATACTACTCATATATTTAATGGCCTTTTCATCAGTTTGTAAAGGTAAATTAGGTAATACAAGGTTGACGCCAGAAATTCGCGAGCTAATTTTAATTATGTTATGTATTTTCGGAATGTGGCTGAAGTTCGTGATTTTCAACTCATAATTGACAAACATGGTAATTATGTCATTATTGTTATTAATTTAATTACTTTTACTCATTGAAACGACATCAGAATAATATTACTTCCTTAGTCTTCATGTTTAATAATATGTAGAAGTATTTTATATGTGCGTAGTTCTATGTGCAGACTGTCGATTTACTTCATTCTCATGGTCTTCTAATCACTTGACGAAGGTAAGTAAAGGTCTATATACTTAATGAAAATGCACTGAATAACGTATCGACAGTAATATACTCGTATTTTAATAGCTATGTTTTAAAGTTTTATTCGAACACAAATATCCTTATGAATTCATTAGTATAAAAAGTAATTATACACCTATAACCTGGAAACCGAAAAAATTACTATAAAAATATTTTTGTATTTATTTACAACCGACAGATAAAATGACGAAACCGTAATTGAGTGTCTTTTTATGTGAATGTTACACAATTACTGCGTCAAATAAGTTGATATTGTTTTTGACGCACGCCACTTATAGATTTTTTTAGGATCGGTTATTATTACTCTAATACTAACACTCACACTAATACTCACACCGTCATTGTACTCTTGTCAATACGCAAGATGATTTTAAGACGTCTTTTGTATTTAAAAAAGAAAGTTGACTGAATAATTTGATTGAATTGTTGATAATAATTTCATTGAATACAGTTTACCATACGTACGTTTGTAAGAGATAAAATGTCAACTGGCACCCACATCAATATAGTAGTAGTACATGTATGATAGATTTTCAAGTCAGTGAAACGTGGGCAAGCGTGTTACGTAGATATCTACTAAATTCTATAACAATATCTGATGTTATTATAAAATAATTGAGACCACAAATGTGGATCCTTTCCCTCTTTAGTACAAATGAATGTTGCAAATTCTGCTTACTGTAAAATACATACTTAATGTATATTTTTCTTTACCCGTCTACTCGTGATTAACCAAACCAGAGATAAATTAAGCTGAGTAAGGCAAGTCGAGAGACAACATTCATATATTATCTGTACACTAAATACAGGGTTTTGTTTGATTTGTCGTTAACCCATAATAATAAGAATAATAAGCAATCCACACGTACTCGAATAGATACAATAACATTCCAGTACGTTTCAATTTCCCTGAAAGCCTGTGGTTGTTATATTAACAATACATTATTCATAGACTATTTGAGGATATGAACTGCCAAAACAGTGTCCTTATCATAACTATTAGATACGATATAATACATTAACTTAAGGGCTACATCATTCCTCGCAATGCTAACGCACTCTGTTTATAACTACTCGTACATATTTATCATCACTCAGAATTTCTTATGTTTCTGTAAATGTCTGTCTTCTAAATTCTTCTAATAGTGTCTTCTAAGGTTTTCGTCGTGTCAATGTCTCTGATAATATTAGGGGTTACAAAAACAGTCAATATATACAAAAATACCTGTTCCATAAAACGAGGTAGTAACTTACAGGACTGATAGACTTATACGTCAATAATTCCTGCTATAATAAACTACAAATTTTTGGTAACTTTTGGTGACAGTACCATGTACATTTTCATTTTATTTATAGTCACTTTATAGACGAGTACTGCCGAAGATCTACTCATAATATGATATTTGTCGTGCCTTTTAGTTTGAAGTAAAATTATTTCTTGCTACATATTCTATTGTATATTACCTACTTGTAGTGCGGATTGCATTTCGAAGAATTATATCATGTCTGTGTCAATACATGAAACTCTGAAACAACTTGTCGTCTCTTACAACAACGAAGCTTATCCCCACTCTTTAGTGCGTTTTCCATCAAATCAAATCAAAAATCATTTAGGTATTTTTTTTAAATGAAAGTGTCTTATGAACCTCTTATAAACAGATTTATAAATATGAAATGTTTTTAGAATATTTATTTAATATGAATAATGTATTTGATATATTCAATAACATTCAATAGTAATTATTTACAATGATCTGCTCAATACGTGTATCAACTTATTTTAGAAAACCGCTGTGATATAAAAATCGTAGTAAAATAGATGTCGTTTCTATTTTACTACTTTTTAATCTGAAACTATAATATTAAAATGCCTTAATATGCTAAGTCCACCATTTTAATTTTTTAAATAAATGAATACATATTAGAAAGGCGTAAACAATTTCAAAGCTTAATGCATTTTATTATTAAAGTAATAATATGCATGAAACATTATGAAGAAAGTATTCTTGTACAGGAAGTATTCGAAGTAATTTCTCAGATTTTTTTGTAATTTTCACGGGTTCCAAAATGAAAGGATTTCTTATAGAGGAAAATAATTGATGTTCGCAAACAGAGATTAACTTATTTTCCGTCACAAGGATGAAACATAAATATTATTCCACAAAAGACTGTTTCTTTATTACAGTCGTGATGTTATTACTTACTCGTATAAATAACGTCGTTATATTTTCCTAATTATTTTGTAAACCTGTTTGTATTTTATAAAATTATTTCATATGGAATTCTATAAGAGGGGTGTTTGCAATAATATTTTGTATATTTTCGTTATAAATAGCTAAACAATAATGAATTATATGATGTATGTTATTATTTAGTTTTGAGTATTGCTATGCCTTTTTTATTTCTCTAGACCATTCCTGCGCCATCTACCACTTTCTATCTTCTCTCCTCTACCCAAAGGTTGTCTGGAAGAGATTGCTTACGCGATAAGACCGCCTTTTGTGCCTTATTATTATAGTTATTATGTACATATATGTTATTACATATGTTCTTTGTAATATACTTCTGACATAAAGAATAAATAAATATATTTTGTATGTCGGTATCTACAATTTCTATCTATTTTTGTGTTAAGTCTACTTCCAAACATTACAAAGTTGAGTAGATATGGTATATACACAGTAAGTAACAATTGCTGAAACTTAGATACTAATTTTATTTTGTAGTTTAACTTAAGTTTTCATGAATACGTATTTACAGAATGTCCATTATATTCATTTTGTAAGTTCTAAACCAATTTCAGTGTAAATATTATTGTTTAAGATTCAGAATATTAACTTCTATTTTGTGATAATATTTATTCTCAGCGGAAGTTATGAGAGTTCAGAAATTATTTAAGTTTAGTTAATATTTATTGAAAAAAATAGCAAATTCAATTATTTTTATGAGCTAACTTACTGACTTGGAATATTTCATTATGTACAGCAGAAAAGCTATAAATCGGGTATTCAGATGAAGTAATATTAATGGCATGGCTTAAAAATAAGTCATAAGTCGCCTTAAAAATATAATAAGTTAAAATAATGACTTCTTATATCTATACCATTATTATATTTTATGGTAGACAACTGTTAGATGCGAAGTTTCGCCAATAGTTTTTTGATATATTCATGCCTGCATTGTCATTACAGTCGGATTTTCAAAATTTGGTAACAGTAGGTATAGATGTAGCGTAATGTCAGAGGCTGCTTCATTTAAAATACAAAACAGTCAGCAGGTATGCGCTGCGGTTACTGATCCAATTAATAACGTACCGATAGATATAACGATAGGTCGTTATTGACTGACTGATATAACCGTATTGATAGCTGTCCCGTATGTATGTGTAATTATAAATATTACTAAATTGTCGGCAGAATGCATAGCAGTGAATATAACGCGTATACAAGTACCGTCGTTGGTGGAGACAGGGACAGAGTTCGTAATCCTCGATTGCGAGTACAGTACTGGGTCGGTGACACCGGGCCCTGGACTCGTGATGAAGTGGTTCTTCAATGGTTCTGCTGGCTTAGTCTACCAATGGATACCGCCAATGCAACCTCAAGTCATTGGCCTGCTCAAGGGGAAGGTTGATATAGGTTTTCGAATATCTGGTGAGTTATTTTTTTAAGATAGGTACATATGTAGATATAGAATACCGATGAATTGGTCAGTAAGCAATATGTAAGATTGGGGTAGATGTGTTTCTTTCTACCTATTTCTCCCCCTAAACGCTTCATGTAATTTATAGATGAATATAATGATAGAATTAACCACGATGGTTTTCAGCGGCAAACCGATTAGATGAGTGTATATTATATCTAAATATAAAGTACATTGCATGACTGCCACGTTGGTCTAGCGGTTTATCGCACCGCCTTATTTCCAATGGTCGCGAGTTCGATTCCTTGTACTATGCAAACATTTGTATTCATAAATATGAATGTTTGTAAAGATCTGGGTGCTTTCTATATAATTTATTATTATATATATTATTATAACATATTGTTTTTTTGTAAATACATACATTACAAAATAAATAAAATGTTCAAGTATTTCTATCAGTTATCGCTGTGAGAATGTGTGAGTTCCTGGGTTATTATTCTTATTGCTAGCAATGATGCACCCGCCTGTGTTGGCAAATGGCAATTTACCACGATAGTTTCCAGGGACAACCGCGTGGAGGTCAACCTGACATGATACATTGCTAGCAATGAGGGTTGTTAGTCCACATTACTAACAATCCTTTTTCCCCTTATCTGGTGAGTTGTGAAAGTGGAACTCATTTTGAAGTTGTTTCTAATATGAAATTCCTCCAGCGAGGACATACTAATTTAAACTTGAGTGTCGAGTGTAAAGTTAGTAACTAAATATTAGTTTTCGCGAAAGTTAATTTCTTACTTAGCATCGTTCAGTAAATAAAACAAGCTATAAAAACAGTCCTATGAGACAATGTCGAAATTACGAAGTAGAAGAAAAAGTTAATTAGTTTATTTGCAAACAAGACCGAAATTGTTAGAGGTCGTCTCAATGGTTGGACAAGACCATAACAACTTATATATCGTTGTGTAAATGTAGCAAATGTAGGTGCAAAATTAAATACCATATTAAGAACGCGGTAGTTGAGAGATCTAATTAGACCAAAGTAAATATATTTAAGACTGATTCTTTGGTTATGTAAACACCAATAAAAATCAAATTATTCCGAATATGGGCAGTAGGATGCCGCCTGATAGTTTTGCATATACTTAGCATATAGCTATATTATATATGCAGGTATACAATCCAAATACATATCCGTCGCAGCCCTTAGATTTTTTTTCGAACTATTGTAATGTTGTGGGCAGGCTGACCTTTACACTTTTACCGACTGAAAAAGGATACCACATCATACTGAGGACACAATTTAAGGGTTAAAACCTAGCTTCAGGACGTCGTCATTTCGTTCCAGAGAACAGGGATCGAAATTACGACGTTAGGAGAGGCAAATATAGATATACCTCTGACTACCCGAACTGACAGCCGTGAAGGTATAAATTAGATACAATATTTATTTAATTTAGTACTTAAATATTCTACTATACATGACTGTACCAATGATTAATGTAAGTATTACATTCAAAATGATTTTTGCAGACGAACCACTTCAAGCTTATCGTGCTATAAAAATTATAAGGCCGACCACGGATTTAAGTGGAAACTATACTTGCGTTGTGTCCACCTTCATGCAGGAGGATCGTCAAACCAAACCTATGCTTGTTTATAGTAAGTATTTTGTATTTTTAAATGCATCAATGCTTTCGCTAAAGAGTCTGTACTGTAGAATAAGAGCAAGCAACGCTTATACCTCTTTTAAGTGGCCACGGGAGTAATATTAGCGTTTACCCGAGAACAAATAAATAACTGATTCCGACCAGAATCTCTAATACCTATCCAAAACCTACCAAAACTAACTTAGATATATATACCTAAGTTATTGATTAATTAATACAGCATAAACAGTACAAATAGGAACGAAGAAAATTATTATTAATGCAGCAATGTATCACTTCAACTCGATTTCCACGTGGTGAGACTCTGGAAACTATTCCTGATGTTCCTGGTGAATCTGCCACGATAGACTCGTGGTCCACTGGTGGCCTGCATGCGTATACCTTTAGAGTAGGAGGATTCTATTATTACTTATAGAAAAATTGGCTATACTTCATAATTGTAATTTTTTTGGTTCTTGAAATTTTCTCAAACAAACACCTTATCTCAAACATACCAATACAGAAATTATTTCATTTTATATATCCACAACGCAGCCATCATAGAGATTAAGAATATTACGGATTCATTAAATTAACTCATCCCAACTTCTTAAATAAATTACATATATGTTACCTATTAATATACGAAGTTCCGCGTAAGTTAATATACGCGAGTATTCCGGCGTTCTTCAGTAAATTAAAATTGACAGCAACGAAAAAGAAGGGTCCGTGTCGGTTCGTTCCAGTGTAAATTCGGCTAAAAGCTTAAAATAAGTAGATGTATACTTAAAATAGTATACCTACTGTTATTTCAAGGTTTTCACATTAATCTCTCCACAAATATTTAATTGCATTTATTTTTTTAGTCACTACAATGGCAAACAGCAATTCAGAAATATATAAAGCAGTAGGAACTGGTGTCTTTATACAAAACAGCATTAATCAATCTAATGTGTCATTCCTGTGGTTTGAAGTTATATATAGATATGATTAATACCAATTATGTCAACAATTTAAATTCTACTTTTATTAAAAATTATCAGTAGTATATAATAAATAATATAAATAACATACATAAATCTCAGAAATAATAAAAAAACTAATATAAAGTTAAATTCTGTTCGGATTAAACACCACAGTAATCGACATTGGGCGGAACCGCTACACACCCAAAAAGGAGTAAGAAATTAGCGTGGGTATAATGAAGACCGTTTTTGCTATTATAATAAGGAAGCTCCCGAGAGTGTTCATCGCTGTACCAGCGAGTAGCGACCGCCTATTGGAACAGGTAGCTACCCACGTAATTAGCACAATGAGCTGGCTGAGTTAAGTGGCTAATTACCAGGCCTCAGTGAATGAGTTTAAAAGCAGCTTTGAAATTATGTTTGCACATTATCCATCGTTAAAACGATAAGCTTATTACTCGTCCCCGAAATATTAAATTCCCTATTATTACATACTATTTAACTATGCGGTGTACTTGCTGAAAACTACTGAAAGGCCTTCAGAAAGTTTCGTGTTTATAAAGTAATTTATTAGAGTACATACGTAATCATAAAGACATTTCCATCAGTTTAGCTTAACTATACAATAGATAGGTAAATTTATCACAACTACCAATAGTGGTTCATAACATCTGCATCAGCAATTTTATCTGCGTCATGTATGCGAGAGGAACCTTTCAAAAATAATACGTTTACTCCATTTTTGCAATATTTTTCATTGATGCTCTGCTCCCATTATTGGTAGTGTGATATTATGCAGCCGTTCTCATCAAATTGTCTATCCAATTCTGAATGATTTTTTAAAATTAGAATCAGTATTCCTGTGATTAAAGTATTCAACTATACAAATTTTCATGAGATTAGCGTATTTAACTAAACAATCAAACGATTTCGTCAGATTTGTTAGGTATACGTAATATTACTATGTATTTAGGAGCTTCACAAGACAAACCAATAACGGGTTATATTATATGTAGGGTATATATAAATTATAAACGTACATATATTGTAAAATAAAATAAAATTATGATACTTACTATGGCTAAGTTTTTAAACATATTACGTGTATGTACTCATAATATATGGATTCGAAAACTCCATTAATAAACAGACTGTAAGTATGAAATAATATTACTTGGTGTCTGGTCTAAATACAAAAGTACAAACCAATCTTTCTGAATAGTATTATAACAGCCAAGATCATTTGACATACGAGTAATATAAAGAAAAGGCCAAACTCAATCCAACCCTTACAATATATATTTTTTGAAACATCCTCATCGTAAATCATTTAGCATTCACTAGACTGAACGTTATGGCATGGCCATCTTTTCGGTAGTTACTAACTCTCACACTAACGAACGATACACGCCTTGCACAACAAACAAAGTATTCACATAAATCAGATAGTAGTTTCAGATATTATTATTGCTCAAATATACGTATAAAACTTAGAGCATGTAGTCATCTAGTCAACTATATGATAGACGTCCGGTGTTTTAGCGATTTATCTCACTGTCTCGTCTTAAGGTGGTTGTGGGTTTGATTTATGTACTATAAAAAATTTGTAATCATTATTATTTACATTAGCTTGAATATTTTTGTATGGAACAAAAACATATTTATATATTTCAGTTAACTCGGGAGTACCTCAATACTCTTAGTAGATCGGAACCTAAAGTTTGGGGGAGCTATATGATCTGTTTAAAATAATTTATTTTAACTACGTAAAGGTACCAAGACAAAAGAAACTGTTTTCCAAATTAATAAAAAATAATGTATATAAAAAAGTTTCATGTTCTACTTATGTGCATAAGTAGAACTTGCAAGTTTTTTATTTACTACTTTTGTAGTTATACCCAGTTAGACAATATATGTTTTTGCAACTTTCAGTGAGCATATTACTTAACTAATCATAACACCGCTAATATTTGTCCGCTGATAATATACACTAAGTTATATGTTTTTCTATTTGTTTTCAGGTCCCGGAAAGAGCTTCCATTTTGTTCAAGAGAAAAAATATGTGTTCTTAGTGACGCTCATTTGTGTGGCTGAAAATTTATATCCTAAACCCATTATGGTCATTTTATCACAGGGGTGAGTATTTAAATTCCGTTCCAGTCCATTGTAAATTAAAAATATGTATTACGTTTACTTCTGATTCATATAATGGTATGTTTTGAAATTGTCATTTTAATTAGATTGATAAAATCCAGCTACTTCACGTAAATGTAAATTTGTATCTAGAAAACCATTGGAGCAAGCAGTGACTGAAATTAGAATGGATTCTTGGGGTCTATATACAGTGGAGACGAGAGCTCTTGTTCATGACGACGACGTCACAAGTCCGTGGGAAGAATTTGTGTGTGTACTGAAATTGCCGCCTGCGAACTACATAGTCAACAGAACGACAGTTTATTACCCTGGTATGACTATAAAACATTATCCATATTCATAATATAAATGCGAAAGAACGTCTGTTTAATTATTACTTCTCCATTCCACTAAACGATTGCACAAATTTAAATGAAATTAGAAATTTATATAGATTACTGACTGTCATAAAGACATATTTTATCTCAAAAAAAAAACCATTTCATCTAGTCCTCTGTAGAATACATATTATTATATATTAATCCATATTAACCGATTTCATTATATGTACGTTTTAATTTATTTTAAGTGTTAACTATCGTGTGACGCACCATTAATTGAAAATGGTAAAGTCAATAATCATGTAACCTGAAACGGAACGTCAGAGGCCAGAGCCAAAGTAATCTATGTGACATTGACAAGTGGATGACGGATGATTGAACGTAGGCAGCGGGAGTTTTGGAGCGAAAAAGTTGGAGTGTTTATATTATTATAAAAACAAATAAGAGATAGGTAATTGTGAATATTGTAGGCATTGAGGTGTTTCTCTCCCTGACTAACCGGTATTACGCCTAAGTCGTCAGGATACTAGTGATTTTAAAAGTTCAGAAGCGGTACCAATCCCGCCTACAAATTCGACCGTAAGGTAATTCAGACTAGAAGTTGTGGTAAGTGAATTTACGTTAATAACACGCATACCATTAAACGCAGTGTCTCACTTGTTTTTTTGAACTTTTGGATGAATTGCTTTCTACATATTAAATAGATTTAGTATGTACGATAACTTGCGAGAGTAATGACATGACATGTAGCACGATATTGAGGTATACAATATACCTAAGAAAGAAGTATTATGAATACATTAAGTATAAAACAACATGGATATCTAATTAGTTTAAAATACAGAGTAACTATTGTTATGTTATTAATGCCTATGATACGAGTATGATAGGATATCAACAGATTAGAAACAGTTACATTAACTATGTTGACATACAGGTTGAACATGAGAACACATACCATGTTATACATATAAACAGTGTAATGGTATTGCTGAGTTTGTTGCTAATTCACAGTAAATTAGTCAAACTTACTGTTCAGTTTTGTGTGTTTGTTCTACGTGAATTGAATTGAAGAATTGTTATTATTTCTTTACATAGGTACACATATATGTTTGATGATCCCATTTCAGATAAATGACAATCACAGGCATAGTCCAGGTATATGTCTTAATTGTGGTTATAGTCCCAAATTGAGATACTGTCATATATATATTATATTGGCTGATACTTTGATATGTGTTTATTAATGAATTATAAAGCATATTAATATAGATAGACACAGTATATTGTTGACATAAACTGATACAAGCTACATAACATGTTATATTATTTTTTTTTTTTTTTTTTTTTTTTTTTTTTTTTTTTTCTGGTGAGGTTGTAACGGTGACATACATTCAAAAGTGCTCCAACTTAAAATTATAATTAAAAATAGTAGTACTATTTTAAAACTTTTAATTTTATGTGCAAAATAATCTAGTAAGAGTACACTTCACCTGCCAACTTTCACTATCACATATTTCTCACTGGTTCACGTAAATCCACGATGTATAATCAAAAACTGAGCTTACAAGACACCAGAGCAGAGTTTGCACAGAGGATGGAAGAATTTGAAAAACGTCTCCAAAAGGCTTCATCCTCAAATTCCGACACGACTGCTATAGCCGAGGATTTTGCGACTTTCAAGGAATTCACCCTTAAGAGTCTTGCTGCACTACAACACCAGGTGGACTTGCTTGTGCTCGAGGTAGACCGACAGGAAATGCGCAGCCGCAAGAGGATTTTGCTCATACATGGAGTTCCAGAGGCCAGGCAAGAAGACACAGCCTCAGTCGTTGAAGGTGTAGTTGTCGACCAGCTGAAAGTGATTGATTTCACAGCTGCCAACATTAGCCGATGCCACAGGATGGGACGACTAAATTCAGCGAAATCTCGCCCTATTTTGGTTAAGATGTGTGATACTGGCATTCGTGATAAAATATGGTTTGCCAAAACGAACTTGAAGGGATCAAGCATTACTGTGTCGGAGTTTTTAACGAAACTTCGTCATGACACCTTCATGATGGCCAGGCAACGATTTGGAGTCAAGAAGTGCTGGTCACGAGATGGCTTCATCCACATTTTGTGCCCTGATGGATCTAAACATCGCGTTAGCAGCTTGGCCGAGTTAGAAAAGGTCGCGCCGCCGCGGCCGGTCCCAGAACAGCAAAAGATAGCCCCACAGGTGAAAGATAACGTTGCTGCATCCAAAACGAGGCGCGCCAATGTTAAAAAATAGGTCTAATGATGTATCTTGTTTACTATTTTCGCTTTGTCTAAATTTTAGTTCCCTACACTTCAATTTCATTCAACAATCTTAGATCCAACAACTATATTGTATATATTTCTCTCTAATCTATTGCCAACATAACTCACTTGTTCTACCCACTTTTGTATCACTTTTTTTTTTTATACATTATCTTTGGTCTCAGATTTAATATTGTCAATTCACCCTGATGGCAGCTCACAGCATAGTGTAGTTGTAAATTTTTAAACCGATTGTCATTGTTAAATGTCAATTTTAACCACAGTGTAATAAGTCAATCTTGCAAGTGTAGGTGAAGTTTTTATTTATTCTGTTTTTGGATACCAGCTCTTTGCACTTATGTTATAGTAAATTATGGTTATATTCAATTATATGTGATATATTGTCATATTAATTTAGCGTTTTGTTCTTACAACTGGCGGGTGGAGTGCCCATGTAATGATAGTACTTTCTAGAATACATATTTATTTATATTTTTTTTTATTATTTTTTAAAGTATATTTATATATATATATATATATTTAGGTGTGATATATATATATATATATATTTTTATTATATATTTAAACATTAATTTATACATATACAATGCTAAATAATATTGATAGTGACGGTGATGAAGACGATTTTTTCTCCATATCATCGCATAATTTAAGCAGTAACAGTAGCATGTTTAGTTTTCCTTGTTTGTCTGATGTCTTGACTGGTTGTTTTTCAGATGTTCCTAAGAATTTTAACGTTATTCACATTAACGCCCAAAGTATTCCGGCACATTATTCAGATTTATTGGCGTCCCTCGACCAGCATAATGTACATGCTATACTAGTTTCCGAATCTTGGCTGAAACCTTGTCTCCTCTCCTCATCTTATTGTCTTCCAGGATTTCAACTTATTCGCAATGATAGAACCAGCGGCGGTGGTGGTGGTGTTGCCATATATTTACGTTCTCACCTTCCATTTTCTATAATTAGCATGTCTGCACAGCCACCGCCACCAGATGCTGGTGAACACTTGTTTGTTGAAGTCCTGCTATCCCATTCAAAAATACTTCTTGGAGTCTACTATTGCCCTTCCATGCACATCAACTATTTTTCCTCCTTGGAAAAGTTGCTTGAAGACTTCACACTAAATTTCCGTCATACAATTATAATGGGCGATTTTAATACATGTCTGCTTAAAAGAGATAATCGGTCTACTACATTACAATCTACAGTGCAAGCTTGTAACATGTATATTCTACCTCTTACAGCTACTCACCATTTCCCCAACTCCGCTCCATCTCTTCTTGATTTAATATTCGTCTCCTCCTTGGAACATGTGGAAAAACATGGTCAATGTGATGCTGATGCTTTCTCTTACCATGATCTTATTTATTTGTCTTACAAAATCCGACCTCCTAAAGATAAACCCAAAATTATTTTTCAGCGTAATTTTGGTGGTATGGACATTGAGGGATTGCGTAGTGACGCCGTGGAGACGGACTGGTCACCTGTTATGGCAGCTGATTCTATTGACGACAAAGTAATGCAATTCAACATTATAGTGACTAAGTTGTATGATGTACATGCACCTTTAAGAGCCATTAAAATAAAGCATACTCCTGCTCCATGGCTCACAGATGAAATTAGGGCACTTATGCACAAAAAAGTTACAACCAAGGCCAAATTTAAACGTCGTCCAACTAACGATAACAAAATGAAGTACTATGAAGCCAGAAATCGCTGCAATAGAATGTGTAGGGATGCACAACGTCGCTATATTCATAACTCAATTTCTGATCAGGAACCTGCTAAAGCTTGGAAATTCCTTAGATCACTTGGAGTCGGCAAGATCCGTCACAAAAATTTGCATCGAAACTTAGACATAAATTCTCTCAATCAGCATTTTTCCTCGTCGTCCATTATTATGGATATAGATGACAAAACTAGTACAATTTCTTATCTTTCATCACTTCCGACTCCAAACTATTCTCCTTTCGTTTTTAATCAATTCACAGAGTGTGATGTTAAGAAAAGCATTATAGCAATTTCCTCTAGCGCTGTTGGTGTTGACTGTATCAGTCGCAATATGATTCTTCCTATCCTCGATCAGATCCTATCAATTATTTGCCATATCCTTAATCACTCCGTAATAACTAGTGTTTATCCTAAAATCTGGAAAGAAGCGCAAATAATCCCTCTTCCAAAAAAGGCCAATCCCGCATCTCATTCTGATTTCCGTCCCATCTGTATTCTACCTTTCCTTTCCAAAGTCCTTGAACGTTTGATTCACAACCAATTCACCTCGTTCCTTAACAAAAACAACCTAATAAATCCTCTTCAGTCTGGTTTCCGACCTGGTCACAGTACAACAACTGCTCTCGTTAAAATCACTGACGATATCAGACTAGGTATGGAAAAAAGTCAGTTAACTATCCTTACACTCCTTGACTTTAGTAACGCCTTTAATACCGTAGATTTTGATATCCTCGAGGAATTGCTACGCTCTCTTAACATATCTCCACCTGTAGTTGAATGGTTTCACAATTATTTGTCTGGACGTCGGCAGCAAATCCGCATTGATGATACATTTTCATCATGGTGTGATACGTTTGCCGGTGTTCCACAAGGTGGCGTTTTATCTCCCTTACTTTTCACAGTTTTTATAAACTCAATTTCTAACTTACTAACTTCTTCCTACCATCTATATG